CATATTCATAACAACTGATCCTGATAATGTGCCTCGTACTGTACAGTCTAGATGTCAAAAATACCTATTTAGCAAAATTAAAGATGGGGATATTGTAGCAAGGTTGAGGAAAATTTCTGCTGAAGAAAATCTGGATGTTGAATTGGATGCATTGGATTTGATTGCTATGAACGCAGATGGTTCACTTCGAGATTCAGAAACAATGTTAGATCAGTTGAGTTTGTTAGGGAAGAGAATAACTACATCTCTTGTAAATGAACTTGTGAGTTCTATCCTTCACTTAAATTTATTTCTTTCAATTCATATTTTGATCTTCATTGAGTAAAAATAACTAATTGAATAATTCAAAGTTCAATCTTTTTGCTGTGTGGATGAATATTTTGAATTTATTGTTGCTCTTTTCCATTTTTTCAGGTAGGTGTTGTTCCAGATGAGAAACTACTGGAACTTTTGGAGTTATCAATGTCTTCAGACACAGCAGAAACAGTGAAAAGGGCTCGGGACTTGATGGACTCAGGGGTGGATCCAATGGTTTTGATGTCTCAACTGGCAAGCCTCATTATGGACATCATTGCTGGGACTTACAATGTAGTTGATGCCAAGCATAGCAATTCCTTCTTTGGTGGAAGAAGCTGTGAGTACCAACACTTTCAGTCTTATAATGTACTGGAAAAGAGTTTTCAGCTGAACTTGGAGTTTGTAGAGCAAATGAGATTTATGCATACATTTGGAAAACTAGGTGAATTTGGTTTACCATATCATATAAGCTGACAGGAACATCCTAGAATTTGATGAAAAAATTTTAAAGATTTGTTACGACCAGATTAAATTCTGTGATTACTTTTATTGGTTTTTGGTTGTGACAATAGTATGAAAATGAGCTCCTTCACTTTTACGTTTTTGATTGGAAGTGCTCCTTGAGATGTGAATGAATTTAGATCTATGCCTGAAGCAGGAACATTTGCTGTTTTTGAGATTGTATTTAACAGAAGTTTAGTGGTATGGAGATATAGAAACTATTTGGTCAGACCTTAATCTTATAAATGGCACAATCAGAAATGCATGTGAAGATAATTATATGTATGTATCATATATTGGGATTTCCCGAGCATAATCATCTATTTGCTATGGATGGCTTGGATTTTTCTGTAGTGACTGAAGCAGAACTGGAGAGATTAAAGCATGCTTTGAAGCTTCTCTCAGAGGCTGAGAAACAGCTACGGGTTTCAAGTGACCGCTCGACATGGTTCACTGCTACTCTCTTACAGCTTGGTTCAGTGCCTTCACCAGATCTTACTCAGTCAAGTAGCAGCAGGAGACAGAGCTCTAGGACGACTGAGGAGGATCCTTCAAGCACTTCAAGAGAAGTTACTATTTACAAGCAGAAGTCAGATGCTCAGTATTTGTCTCGTAGATCAAGTTCACCTGCTTCCTTGTATAAAGCAATAAATGAGAATTCCGAATTTGGTTTTAGTTCTAAGCCCCTTCCTAGTCGAACAATGCATAGCCGTACTTCGACTGCTTCATGGGATGATGAACTTGTTGAAACTATGCTATTTAGATACAGAAATGCAGACAAGTTGGATCATATCTGGGAAAAGTGTATTGCAAAGTGTCATTCAAACACACTTAGGCAGCTGCTACATGCTCATGGAAAGCTTTTTTCCATATCTGAACTTGAAGGTATGTCACTTTTGGTAGTGAAACTGAAACCAAGAATGCATGGTATCCTTTTCTTCCTTTTCTCTTTACCATTACTTTTGATCTATCTATCTCTGGTCAAACTTACATTCCTGGCATTGGGGGATTAAACTTTTAAGTTATGATTGAAATGCTTGTATACTGTTATATATAGGGATTAACACTTAAGTTTGATTGAAGATGCTTGTATACTGTATATATATAATTATATCATATATATACTATATATTATATATTTATAGTTGGTAGCTATTTGTTCCTGCAAGTTAGTTTTTTTCAATCCTATAGAGAACTGATGTAATGATGGTATTTATCATATTAGTTTTGTATTCGTGATGTGCTTATTCATCTGAGGACAGTTTTTTTTTTTCCTCTGTTGAAATTATGTTTATGATATATTTTATGTGGTAGCTATTGTCCTGCAAGTTAGTTTTTCAATCCTATAGAGAACTGATGTAATGATGGATATTTATCATATTAGTTGTATTCGTGATGTGCTATTCATCTGAGGACAGTTTTTTTTTTTCCTCTTTGAATTATGTTTATGTTCTCTATGAAGGATAATAGAATCTAGAATCACACTCATTTCTAGTGGTTTAGTTTAATTTATAACCAAATTTATGATTACTTGGAACTGGAAAACTTCATATGGGAGATGAAAGTTCCCAAATTCCTAAACAGAAGCTGTATATTCCATTCGTGATGAGTTCAGCTGTTATTTTGCTTGTTTTCAACTAGATCCCTTGATTTTACGTAGGGGCCTGCACATACAATATCTTGCATTTTTATAGTTTGTATCTGATCCAGTTGTTATTTACATGTGGCATGATTAATGTGGTTTGCTTTATTTATATATTTATTTAGTTTTACTTTTTGAGAATCTTTATAACATTTTATGTTTATTTAGCTAGTCATACTCTTTCTAGTTATATCTTCATGTTTTGAATTAGGTATGAATTTTCACAATTGAGAATCAAGATGCCGAAGTAATTTTCACATTTTACATGCTTTTTAGACTGCATTATTAGTCTCAAAGACTCCCCAAAAAATGAAGACCATGTGTGTTTGTAGATGCCTGTGTGTGTTTGCCTTTCTGTCTTTCTCTGTGCCTGTGTTATCATTATACCTTACGTTTAATATGGATCTGCGTGCAGGTATTTTGGTTGTTTATGTTGCATTTGGGGATGAAGATATTAAAGCCAGAGCTGAAAGGTTTATGAGCAGTATCACAAATTCAATTGAAATGGTCCTCAGATGCAACGTAGAAGTGAGAATTATCCTTGTGCCAGATGGTGTAGATTCTATGAATTGTGTGAATCAAAGTGAGTTACAGGGTCAGAAGAGGGCAGAAGCAACTTTGGCAAATGAGCAGGAAAGGAAAGAAAATAGTTCAAACCTACTTAATGGTTACTCTGACTCACAACAAGAGTCCTTAAAATTATCTAGAGGAAGCTTTAATGATTTGGAGAGCAAGCTGAAAGGAGGATCTTCAAATTTGCGGGAGAGTCCTTTTCAGTCTACTGCTTTATCAACCGAGTTACCGCCTGATCCAGATGCTGAGAATGGTGGTGTGAGAGAAAGAAAGCAGGAATTACCAATGCAGAGAATAGAATCTATCATCCGTGAGCAGAGGTTAGAGACTGCCTGGTTACAGGCAGCAGAGAAAGGCACGCCTGGATCATTGAGCCGTCTGAAACCTGAGAAGAATCAGGTGCTGCCTCAAGAGGACAACTATCGTCAAAATCAAATGGAATCTGCAAGTTCAATGGGCCTGTCATCTCAGCATTGGGAAGATGAATTAAATCATGAACTTAAAGTTTTGAAGATGGAGGATAGGATGGTGGTCTACAAGGACCAGATTGGTAAGAGGGCTGATCGTTATCCAATATCTCCAAGCCTGTTGCATGATAACAACCTTGTGGGTTATCCAAACAACGAAAACCTGTAAGTCTTTTTGTTGATTTCTTTTCTGATTGTTGTGACTTGTGATTGTTATTATTCATTCTTCAAGAAACCGTTCTCCTATCAGAAGCCTTCAACACTTCTCTCTGGACCTGATGCATTTCAAAATATCTAGTTTGCACAGACACACACAGGCACATTACTAAAAGCTCGAATCATATTTAACAGGGAAAACTGGCAAGATTTATGGGCTTCGTTCCAGATAGCAGAATAAATAATCATTTCATCAGCGTAATTGCTTATTAAAGATGTCTTTGGGTACTTTTTTCCACAGTTTCTGTACTTTAGGAGCTATTTAACATTCATTACCTTGTCAATTTACATAAAATTTAAAATAATTTGATTTTTACAATGATTTCCCTTTAATGAAAAATGAATCAGCAAATTGTGGCCATTCTTGTTCATGATATTATGAAGTTTGATTTTTTTGTTTATTTGATATTCAATTATGATATGTGATTTCTGAGTTTTTGCCCAGTTTCTGGTTGTAACTGCTTTCAATTGAAATAGGATTTAATTTGCTCGTTGGAAGATTCCTAAGCACATTTAAGTAATGTTATGCACTCAAGCTATACATATATTGGGTCAGGTATTATGAAGCAGAATCTATCTAAGTTCTTTGAGGACTTCTTTATTTTTTTATTATAGCTGGAATTTGAGTACTGCCAATACATGTGCATCAAAATATTCTGATAGAACCAAGGCATATTGGATGATGGACATACTAGAATTAAGAGAGATGATGAATTTTTATTCAAGGTCAATGGAATTGGAGATTGTACAGTATCATTATCATATTTTCAGAATGTTATCCTTCAATCATCAAAATATTTGTTTTAGGACCTTTGTGATAGAATGTGAGAATTTCCCCAAAACCATCTACTTGATGGTGCAATACTTTTATTTTTACTTTTATTTTTTTTATGTTTTTCATTCAGCATGAGTAAATATTTTGTTTTAATGCTCAAACTTATTCTTGCTTTTGCTTTAGGGGATATGAATCAAGTTCAGCAAGCGGGGGTTGCAGCGGGCTTCTCTGTTGGAATGCCAACAGATCTCTCAAGGGAAAGGTAAAGCTATTTCCCATTCTTTCTTCTCTTCAGCAAAGTCTGTGTCCTTTCAGTAAAGATGTTTTATTTGTGTACTTGGACAGGCTAAAGGGACCTCTGTTCGCTCCAGACACAAGAGCGGGCGATTTACATTGTTTGGAGAGTGTGGGAAACATAAGAAAGCAGAGAACAGGATTAAAACATAAAAGGAATAGCTAAGATAGTATCTGGATATTTAGCTCCAGATGTTTGTCACTTTCACATATATAGTTCTTTTCTGTATTTATTTTTTCAGGTTCAGGCATTTGTTAAGGTTATGCCATGAGGAAAGTATTTCATGTAAAGGTTTTTTTGCTGGTGAACATTGACATTTCTTTCATTTCCAGCCATTTTTGATTGGATCAATAAAAGAAACATGGGAAAACATGCAGGCTATCTGTTCTTGTCTTCTTGTTTCTTGTTCTTTCAGTTTATTCTTGGGCAGATATTATCTAAGAAATATTTTGAATGGTAGTTATGGTCTGGAGAAATATTTTGAAGCATAGTTATTAAACCTGACTTGGATATTGACTCGGCTCGGCTGTGGAACCAAGAAAATGGGTCATTACTTTGACCAGCGGGTTAATATTTCAATTAATGAGTTATAAAAATGTAATAATATATACTAATTAAATAATTATAATTATTAATGAATCAATCTGGATGGTTGAACCAGTTTGAGTAGGCTGATTCAACCATGTTCAGCTGGTTCAAGAGCAAAACCAGTCTGGTTCATCAATTTTTTGGATCAACCTACCAGTCCAGTTCGAGTTTAATAACTATAATTTGAATATCCTTTTAATAATGTGGATTGCGAGTTTACTGGATGGAAAACTCATTTTCTTTTTAAATATTGGGAATGGATTGTAATGTAAATCTTTATTTGAACTGGGTTGCCGGCTTAGCAAGATATTGTCCGCTTTGGATCGAACCAATTCAAGCTTGCATGATTTAGTTCTTGTGCTAAAACCAACTCAATAACTCAAAAGACTTTTTGTTAGTTTACGGCTTGTCCATTCTTATGTACTTCACTTACATATTGTGCTTAGTTGACGTGGAATTTGCATCTTCAGATAATAAAATCAGCATCTTCAGAAATTAGTATAAACCGGTAAAATTGATGAACTGAACCGGTAATTAATATGGTTCAATTTAAATTCTAGTTGGTTTCCAAAATATGAGCCTTTTAAAAATTGGATTACTGATTTTTTAACTTTTGAACCTCTTTATTTCGAAGCTCAAACCCTTAATTTGTTAATCAAAACAACTAAATTGTCTATCTAAAGCTAAACGGTGAAAATTAATTAAGTAATTTATGATAATTAATTAATTTTTTATTTAGTATTACATTTAGTCATTTGTTATTCTTTTTATTTAAAATTATTTACTCTTTTTTTTTTTTTTCCGGTAAAAGTTAGGGGCATGTTGACTTGACGTCATCCTCACCTGTCTGCCACTAGAAACACTAGTCCTCGTGCGACCAGCACTGAGCTGGCGTCAACCCCCGTATATGGTGTTTGCATAGATCCTTCTATTATGTCTCGATGAAAGTCCACGCAAAAAATAGGCCAATTTGGCTACTTTAAGAATCATAGCTGCTAGACTTGGCCATATTACGGTTCCGGGAGCCGGAACCGTCAGTTCGAATCGGCTCGGAACCGTAACCGAAACCGGTGAGAATCGGAATCGGGACGAACCGGAACCAGAACCGAAAAAATCCGATTTGGTTCCGGTTCCAGCAAATAAGGAACCAGAACAGGCGGTTCCAGAGAACCGGTCGGAACCGGACTGGAACCGCCGGAGAATCGAAATCGCGGACGAACCGGAACCCCGAACCGAAAAAAATCCGATGGATTCCGGTTTCCAGCAGCAAATAAGGAACCAGAACCGGCGGTCCAGAGAACCGGTCGGAACCGGACTGAGAACCGCCGGTTCTCCGTCCGGTTAGAACCGCCGGTTCGACGGGTTCGAAACCGGCGGTTTCTAGCCCGTTCTAACTGTCAGAAAACTGCCCAGTTTTTTTTTTTTTTTTTTTTTTTTTTTTTTTTTTTTTTTTTTAAATGTGTTGTGAAATGTCTAAATTGAAGTATACTCTTCTTTGCATTCCGGCGGAGACACATCGGGGTGATATTTTCTTGCCAGTTGTTTATAAGCCTTCTTTATTTTTGAAATACTTCCTTTTTCTGATATACCCAACAAATCGTAAAAGCTCTCTGTTTTTACCATCACAGTATCAGCCATGACGGCCCTAACTGAACCTGCTCTGTTCGATTTTAAAGTGGTATTTTTGAAGGAAAAGTTTGATTTTGGGAAATGGGTATTGAAGCTGAGATTAGAAGACGGATTAAGAGTTGATTTTGGAGTTGAGAGATTGGGTTTGGAGATGGCTTGAAAGGAAGAAGAGATCATTCCTGCAGTAGTCATGTTTTGCTCTGTTGTTTTTTGCTATGTAACTTGGACAGAGGAGGAGGATGAGTGAGAGCATATATAGAGAACTAATATTAATAAAATAATAATGAAAAATATTAAATTTAGAACTTAAAAAAAGAAGTAAGAATGTAAGATGTTGTGAAAGGCTTATAAATTTAATTGAAGTATTTTTTAATTTTTTAGGTGTATTTTTTAATTTTTTATGTTCAAATAATTTTTTTTTTAACCGGTCTTCAAATTTTAAAATTTTTTTAAGTGCTATTTTTTAATTTTTTATTTTAAATAATTTTTTTTTTAAACCGGTATTCAACAAATTTAAATTTTTTAAATTATGGATTCGAATTTAAAATTTAAAATTATGCGATTCGCCGAAAAACCAATCGGAACCGTCGGTTTTGTAATCGGATCGGAACCGGAACCGGAACCGCCGGTTCCGAAACTGTGGCCAAGTCTAATAGCTGCATCTCTCACTCTTGGTCTCTTCTCATAATTTGCGTGCGACAAACTCCTATCTTCCTTTCATTGTATTATTTCTGAACAAATTCCTCTGATTTATAGATTCCAATCCGAGAGCACTACCAAAGTGTCTCACAGAAAGATTATCCTGACGTAGAATATTCACTTGTTGTTTATCGACTATGCCTTTCGGCTTGATCTTAGCCTTGACTCACCCTCTGTGGACGAATCTTGCATCTTTTTCTTAACAATGCCTTTATCATTTGATCTAATAGCATTCCGCTCTTTTTCTTAGGAAACATTTGGCACGATGGACTCTACATATTTTATTTATTTGAAAAAGTTAGCTTGGACTTAAGTAAAAATAGTTTGAATTTATCTATGGTTTGTTTGTTCCTTATTTCGAAAATCCTATTTCGTTCAATTGGATAAAAAAAAATGATTTAGAAAAGTTTGGGTAGGCTGAATCTAAATGTTGGCTATAAAAATGATTTGAAAAAATTTGGAGAAAACCGAATTTAAATGTTGGCTAGATAAATGTTTTGTAGTAAGAAGATTAGTTATGAACCCTGTAGATCATCACCATGAGGTGAGATTATTTTTTATTTGATATCAAAATTTTTTTATTCTATATTTTTAATAGTATTTAATAAATATATTTTAAAATATTATATATATAAAAATTTGGTTGAATTGTGTTGATAATGTTGAACTCTCCGATTCAGTAAATCTTTACCTTCACCGATTCAATAAATCTTTACTTTCACAGATTCACTGACCAGTCCAGTTTTCAGAACACTGATTTATATAATTAAAAATCATGTATAATTCAATCAAATAAAAACAAATCAAGAGGCAGGAATTAAGTTCCTAATTTTTAATTGATTTTCTATTGAGAAAGCTACTTTTTTTTTTTTTTTTTTTTGGTTAATACTTTTTTTTTTTTTTTTTCTGGTTAATACAATATTTTAATTTTACAAGGAATTCAAACTTCCCCCGTCTTAAAATAAAAGTTACATTACTAACGTCGATTTTTTTTCCCGATCCTGCGGATTCCATAACCTACCCCATTAAATTCATTTTTGAACTGATTACATATATTTATTTATTAAAAAAATATTTAATTTTATTTATTATTAAAGTTGGAAAATATTGTCACACCTTAAAATTTTAGTTTCAAAACTTCTTTCATTTGATTGAAATGATAATATGAAGTATTTTATATCAAACGTATTTCGTGTTTTTTTTTAAATTAAAAATATATTTTCTATTATACTTTTTTTTTTTTTTTTTCTGGTTAATACAATATTTTAATTTTTACAAGGAATTCAAAACTTCCCCGGTCTTATAAATAAAAGTTACATTATAAACGGTCGATTTTTTTTCCCGACCGCGGATTCCATACTACCCCCATTTAAATTCATTTTTTGAATGATACATATATTTAATTATAAAAAAATATTTAATTTTATTTATATTAAAGTTGGAAATATTGTCACACCTTAAAATTTTAGTTTCAAAACTTCTTCATTTGATTGAAATGATAATATGAAGTATTTTTATATCAAACGTATTTCGGTTTTTTTAAAATTAAAATATATTTTCTATTATTTAATTAAATAAGTAAATAATAAAATGACACCATTTTTTTATCAGCAAAGAGTGAAGCCGGGGCGGTCCCACTGGACAGAAGAATCTCGGTTTGCCAATAGTTGTTTATTAGATAGGGAGTAGGAAAAGAACTTCCATAAACCCAAGATTTTACATCCAAGCCACAGAGGAGAAAAGCCTACTGCTATCACACTATAAGCATTATTATTCTTAAAGAATTATTCTATTATTCTATTGTACATTATGACACGATCATTTTTTGAATTTAGACATGCCTAATTAAATTATGGAATTTAGACCGAATATTCACCCCTACGAAAAATAATCATGGTCATGAAAGTTGCAGGAGGCTGTGGGAATGGTAAAGAGTTCCATAGCAAGTAACTAAAAAGAAGTAACAAATGAGAGAATCTCATTGCCAAAAAATATTTCCTCTCAAAAGTGATTCCAAAATACACAACATGTCCATTCTCAAAGGGGATAAAAAAAGGAAGAAATTACAGAAGATATCATCAAACTCCTACTTATAAAAAAAGATTCTCTTAACACCCAGCAAAAATAAGCAGTAGCTGCATTCCAAAAAGCTACTAGTCAGCATAATGTTCTAATTCAAATGATGATATGATGTGAAGCCAACTAAAATCAAGAGCGCAATTTTAAAAAGATGCTTTTTAACAAGTATGACACTTCCAGAAAATTACATCTGGTAACTGGCATGCTCATCGTCTTCGCATTCCACGTCCACGACCGCGGAAAGCAGCTCCACGCCCTCTACCACCCATAGCACTTGCAGCAGCTTCCCCTTGAGCACTTTCAGACTGCATTACCAAACAAGGGAAACCATTAGAGAGATGAAAATTTTCATTTGAGCATATGATATCTTAGCCCTTATCAAAGGCTTACTGATGAGACTCATAAAGAGACTACTGCAAATAGAAATTTCCAGAATATTAAAAATCAATCGAACATAACATACATGTATTTTAACGCAATAAACAATGTCTCAAAGCCGAATTTCACTGCCAAAATCAGCCTGACATCCATAAAACACTAATCACTTTACCTTAGGGTTCTTTACTGTCTCATCCACACTCAATATGAGACAGGCAGCCTCAGTAGCAGCATTTATAGCATTGATCTGTGACATGGATTCAACCACCATAGGGTCAGTATATAGAATGAAAGAAAATAAATCATAAGATAATGCATCCAGTATCAACAAATTTAATCCTCTACCTTCACAACTGCTGGCTCCCAAACAAAATTGGCAAATGAGTCTGCAATTCCACCTGTGTTGATATCCACCCCAAAAAGTGCACCCTCACCTGTTGAAAAGCTCAAAATATTAGTGCAATGATCTATATGAAATTACTTCGGAAAAAAAATATTATTGAAATTCATTTGCAAGACAGCCATCAAAGCAAGCCCTTTCACATCAGGAAGAGAGGCCAGTTCATCAAAAGCACATGACAATGAACTAGAAAATCAAAGTATCAAACTCCTTCAAACATAACCAAATCGAGCTCTTTTCTTCGAAGGGGCAACTCAAACTGGTACATACCAGACGGAAGTGCATGCTTCTGTCTTAATTTGTTCAGCACATCAGTTGCATCAAACCCAGCATTATCACATAATTGTCTTGGAATAACCTGCAATATGAGAGATGAATCTCATCAACCTTTTCCCAAATCCATAATATCTTGAGAGCATGAAATATCATCTGTACAAGGAATAACATTTACTATGAATGTCCCACCAGTGAAACACTTATAGGCTAAGTGTGATAAGGGACAATGGAATGCAATAGAATAAAATGCATTTCCAGTTCAAACATTGAACTAGGAATATAAGAGATATCATGTGGTGCAATCAATGAAGAACCACAGCTAATAAACTACATTACTACACTAACTCTAATAATATTGACAATATAAAGTTAGTTATGATCCTCAGAATTGTTCATTAAGATATTAATATATATGTTATCATAGTATGATAGTATGACACTCTTTGCCATTAATTTGGTAGAATAAGAATTTTAGAATTAATAATAATTTAAAGTACATCATAACACATGCTTTCGTTCAATAACTCTGGAAATCACATATAAATCTCATAATGCCATAGAAGTTCCAAAATCAAATATTGCTTCAAGATAACTCTAACACGTTTCTATAGATTAAATTCTCCAGCAAGAAGGTTAGAATCATCTATAAATAATAAACTCTTTTCCTGTCATATACCACATCAGATGGAGGGCATTTTATGCTACATAGTTTTGACATCTGAATATAAGCTAGTTACCTCCAGGGCTTTTGCATAAGAGTTAATAAACAACTGAGACTTCCCAGCTATTGTGCGTGCATGCTGCCTCAAGAATCGACTGATTTCCATCTGTCATAAAACAACATCTTAATTACCAAGGCTTAAAATATGCGAGAGCGTGTGTGATCAGTTCTGATAAACCCATACATCTATTGCACCACCACCAGCAACAACAGTTGAGTTCTTTGCAGCTCTTCTAACTATCATGATAGCATCATGTAAACTTCGTTCAGCTTCCTCAATGAACTGATAGTGACGACAGAAGAAAATACAAAGATCAACATAAAAATCTAAGTGAACTTATCATAATTTCAATAAAAATATATTAACATACCTGATCAGCCCCACCACGAAGAACTATAGTAGCTGTCATTCCAGAAGGGCACCCACTGAATATATTAAACCTCTCATTTCCAACTTGCTTTTCCTCAAAAATCTCACAAGTTCCAAGAACCTAAAGCCAGAAATATAAAACGATTCCAATATGATCACAAAAACAACTTATTGCAAACAAATAGTTTCTGCATTTCCAAACAAATATGAAGCCTGACCTCATCAATTATATTGTTGACAGTTGTTTGCACAGCTCCACCAGTTGCAGCAGCAACCCTTTGCAAGTCTTCTTCAGCTACACGGCCGGCACAGAAAATATCTCTATCTGCAAAATACTGTTACAAACAGAGCATTCAATAAATTTACCAGCATAGTACACAAAACCATGATGAAGACATGTTCTTCTAGGAAAACAGCATACTCTATTCACAAGATTCATTATTCAATAACCAAGAAAGGAGTCTACTGTAAAAAGAAATAAAGACTACAGACAGTACAAAAATCAAATTTTCATCGTCTGATTTCTACCAATTCACAAAGATTTACTAGCATTCATACAGGTAGAAACATTACATTCATACAGGATATCATTAATGAAGCCAAGAATGCCTACCTGTGTTGCCAAATCTCCAATAGCCAGACGTGAAAGGACAACCTTGGCCCCACTCTGTACACATTTATCCAACTTGTCATAAATGATATTCCATTCTGCATCAACAATCGATTGATATTCTGATGGATCTGACAATCTGCAGTTGGAAAGACAGCAATGTGGGATTCAGCAACGACCTTCTATGTTGAAATTTAAATCAAACTAACAAAGAGAATCCTACCTTATCTCTGCATTTTCTTTCTCAGATTTCAATTCCAATTCAATATTGAGTAGAAGTATCTTGGGGTCCACAAACTTCTTTGGTTGTTGTTCAAACCCCGCATATGAAAATGTCTTTTTAAAGGCAACACCATCAACTAGAAAGGAGTCTCGCATATTGCCTCCAGGTACCTGCAGGAAACACATATACAACATATCAAAATCTTCTACTACAATATTTCCAATATCCAACTTCAAGCAAGCACAAAACTTCCACCAAAATAATGGAAATTTAAATGCTCAATTACACAGTAAACATCTCATGAGAAAACTGCACAACTGTGAAGAAGGCGCTAGCATTCAAATCTTGATCAGATTTTAAATTGATTAACTTAAAGGAGTCTGAATAAACTAATAACAAAGAAGGTATCAAGGAGATGATCAACATTCGAGCATGCTAAAAAAAGCTTGTATCTAATGGCAAGTGTTTGAGTAACAACTGAACTCAAAATAAATCTCTTGATATAGAAGTGTGATTTCCCATAAATTCAAAATAAACCAAACTCCTATATCAAGAGAAAAGAGAAGTTTACTCGCATTGCAAATCATGACCACTCTATGATTTGGTCAACAACGTTTGCATTTACAAACCTGTAAAATTTCCTAAAATGTATGTGCGGAACTTATTGATGAAACACTGCCAATTGCTAGAGTGGAAAATTGAATAATAAGACAACGGCAGTATGCAAACACAACTAACTGACACATGCATTTACCTTCTTTATTCCAATCATGTTAAGCCTGTCATCATTCCCAATTGCAATGACAGCATCCACAACCATCTGTGCAAAAAATTCTTTCTCTCCACCTATAAGCTTTGAAGAAAGTGTTGTGGCAGCACATTTAGCAAGTAAACCTTTCTTTTCTTCTAGACTTTTCCCTTCTATGCTCACAGCTAGTTCTCTGATCTTCTCAATTGCCTACAACATCATGTGTAGCATTTAAGAATCAAGAAATGGGAAAGTCAGGCCCAAATCAAACAAAGAAAAGGTAAACAAAATCAAATTACCAAATAGCTTGCAGTCCTATAACTCCGTATCAAATTTTGTGGGTGGACACCATCCTCTATGAAAGGTTTTGCCTCCTTCAAAAACTCTGCTGCAAGCAGAACTACTGTAGTGGTTCCATCACCAACCTGCAGCATAAGAAAAGCATGCAATTCCCAGAATGCATAAGCAACAAATTTAGCACATCATAATTACTGTTTCTGGAAAATAAATGTCTTACAAGTCACAACAAGTGATGAACTGGATAAGAAGAAAGGTATTATTTCTATTAATAAATTCTAAAAGGCATTTTAACGTCCATAATCTTCTCCTTTCCTACTAATCTTAACAAATTTCTATGTTATATAACATGGAGAATTAATCAATGTCATTTGGTCACCCTAACTTCTTCATAGGAATCTCAAACATCTGTCAAGAGAATGTTATTATCCTGGACAAAAGCACAAGTTAGTCCTACCCAACTAATTTCCCAGTATCATGTTTGGCTCAAATCTAACTTCTCACATGAAATGTAAGATTTCATTAGTTATAACAATTTACCTATACATGTTACCATATTTCTGCCTTTCCTATTTGAGATTTCCTAAAACAACTTTTAATTATTATATAAAATAAATAAATTAATAATCTGGCATATTCAACAATAATGCAGTACACAAAACCTAATGCTTAGTTTTCATTCAAGTGTAGAAATGTTAACCATTACCTCAGAGTCTTGGGACTTAGCGATGTCGACAAGGATCTTGGCGGCAGGATGAACAATATCAAGCAACTTCATAATAGTAGCTCCATCGTTAGAAATGGTGACATTTCCTTTATCGTCATGGATAAGCTTGTCCATCCCTCTTGGTCCAAGCGTCGTCCTAACTACATCGGCCACCGAAGTGCAAGCGTTAATGTTACTGACCAACTGCGCCTTCCCCTGGGACGTGTCTGTCCCTTCCTTCAATAGTATGATTTGCGGTTGCTGCTCATCATTTCGCCCAATTTGAACGCCATAGACAAAGAGGCAGGGTCAAATATTATGTAATATACATTATAAGATATAAAAAGAAACGGAGAGGTAATGTAACTTACCAGCATGGCTGCCATTGTTGCAGATTTAGAGAAGAAAGAGAGATTTGATCAGTGAAAGAGAGGGAAGGAGGAAGAGAGAGCAAGTAAAGAGAGAGGACGCTAGGGTTCTTGTTAGTGTGAGGTTTTCTCTTTTCTAGTTCTTTCTACCGCTGTTTTTCCTTTGGTTTGTCAAAATTTATTTTTTATTTATATATATTTTTATATATAAGGATATAAAAAGAAACGCGAGAGGTAAATGTAACTTTACCAGCTGGCTTGCCCATTGTTGCCAGATTTAGCAGAAAGAAAGAGAGATTTGAATCCAGTGAAAGAGAGGAAGGAGAAGGAAGAGACTCAAGAGATGAGGACCCGCTAGGTTTTCTTGTTACGTGTGAGGTTCTCTTTTCTTAGTTCTTCTTCTACCGCTTGTTTTCCTTTGGGTTTTTGTCAAAAATTAATTTTTTATTTATATACTATATATATATTGTATATATTATATATATATATATTAATAAGCTGAATAATGTTTTCTACATTCATTTATAAAATTCCAATCGTGACGCTACAGATTAAAAACCATAAATTTTATATCGTATATGTATATATATATATATATATATAATAAGCTGAATAATGTTTTCTACATTCATATAAATTCCAATCGTGACGCACAGATTAAAACATAAATTTATATCGAGATTTTAGTAAATAATTTACTAATTAATTATTTGTAATAAAACTATATAATAAATGATTTAATAGTTATTTAATAATTCAAAATTAATTACATAAATAATTATTTAATGCGGAAGGAAATTTAAAAGATTTTTAATCTAATGAACATGACTAATTAAATTTTAAAAAAAAATCAACATAACTAATTTTTGAAGATAATATATTACCATTTCATTAAAAAACTTCAAATCAATTAAAATATTGCAGGGAGGATATGACCGATCTCCTAAATATTCGACATAAAATAAAAATTATTATAACTAAAATTTTAGTTATATAAAAATTATTATAACTAAAATTTTACCTTTCTAAATTTATTTTCTTTTGTTTAGAAAGGTAAAATTATAGATGAAATAAAATATTATTATTGGAGAATAAACAATTTCATCCTCATTTATTTATAAACAATAAAATGCGATTCTAATTATTTCGAATTATTTGGATAATTTTATAAAATAAGTGAAATGTCCATTTTCCTTTATTTTTTTCTCTCCAACTTTTGGAGTTGCTTAAATTTGTGGAATTCATTTTAAAATTCAACGTCTTTTAGTAGAATTTGGTTTAGTTATATTCCAATTTATAGAATTAAATTCATTTTAAGTTTGTGTTTCATAATAAATTCAACAAATTGTATTTATAAATGAATTCCATCAAATTTCGTAGAATTCATTTATTTCAAAAATGGGCTAGAGTTATGAAATTTGGTAATTATATGCATCTATCTATACTAGCAACGATAGTTTTTATTGGTATTTTTAATTTTTATATGTAAAATGTGGCTAAATCATTAAAAAAAATTCGACCTTTACCGATAATTTTAATTGTACCATAAAACTAATTTTTTTCTCCTAGTATCTTGAATTTAAACTTTAGTTATAATAGCACTCTAATTTCAAATTATATCTAATTTAATAAATAAAATATTATTTTTGGTTGACCTATATTCTCTCTTATGGTCAAATTAACCAAAAACTCATTGTTTAACAACATTTTACCCAATATTGGTTATGAACTTAAATTCATAAAAAGCCAAAATAAAGTAATAAATTTTAGTTAGTTATAAGCGTGAAAAAATTAGTTTAGATTTTTGTTTTGTCATTTTTTAAGCATAAAATTTTATTTATACTTAAGTTGAGTTCTTATAAAGATAGGTTTTAAGCATTATGATATTATTTTATTTATAGAAAATCATTACTTATTGTTAATATTATATAAATAAATAAAAAGTAGTGTTTATTTAAAGATGAAAAGATTATTTTTTATTTTAATATTTATATAAATAAATAAATATTAATAAGTATTGTCGGAAAGGAGTCTAATTTGAGGAAAAATGTTAAATTGAATCCCATTAAAAATAATATTTTATTCATTAAATTGGGTATAATTTGAAATTAAGATGTTATTGTAACTAAATTTGGAATTCAGGATACTAGGAGAAAAAAGTTGGATTTAAGATATAATTAAAATTACCCATAAAGTTTGAAAATTTTTAATGACTTAGCTGTAAAATGTTGATTTTGGTGATTACTTAATTTTTAAAACAATAAATTTCACATTTTCAGTTATCCAATAATTGTTTAATTGATTTAAATTTATAAGTGTTTAGTAGAAATATTTATAAATTAAAGTGTTAAATATGTAAATTTTATAAATTTATTTTTTAACTATCTATTTATTGATTTAATTTTCTGAATTAGGATTTTTATATAATGATTTTGTAAGTTTAAGTATTTAATAAATGTAATTTTATAAATTAAAGTGTTTAATATTTTAAAAATAAAAATAGATGGATAGGTAATTTTTCTTTTTCGGAAAATACTGTGTTAATTTATGCATTTTTTTTGAAAGATAATTATTTATTTATTAGTTATCGTTAGTTAAAGTTATGGTCTTTGGAGGAAAGGTAGCTATCGCAAATTCGCAACTCCTAGGAAGCGAACCAAGCATGCCAACCTCAACACTTTGTCATGTCCCATTTGCACATCAAAATATATCAACTAATTAACGCTAATCATTTGAGACAGCTCCATGCTCATCTCATTCAAAACTCCCTCCACCACCACAACAATTGGGCGTCACTTCTCATCGCCCAATGCACGCTCCTTCACGCGCCACCACACTATACCCGTAGCATTTTCAATTCAACCCCCGACCCAACTATTCATGTCGTCACTTCCATGCTCAAATACTACTCCCATTTGGGTGGCCAAAATGAAGTTATATCTTTCTTTAAACACATGCAATGCTGTAGCTATGTTAAACTTGGTGCATATGTTTATCCGCTAGTGATAAAATCTGCTGGTAAAGATGGGATAATGTTTCATGGCCATATTTGGAAACTGGGTTATGTAAATGATCCTTATATTCGCAATGTGATATTGGATATGTATGCAAAACGTGGTCCAGTTGAGGTTGCTAGGAAACTGTTCGATGAAATGACTGAGAGAAGTCTTGCGGATTGGAATTCTATGATCTCTGGGTATTGGAAGGGAGGAAATGAAACTGAGGCTTTTAGTCTCTTTAAAATGATGCCTCAAAGGAATGTTGTAACTTGGACTGCAATGGTTACTGGGTTTGCTAAGATAAAGGATTTGGAGAAAGCAAGGAAGTATTTTGATTATATGCCAATGAGAAGCGTTGTTTCTTGGAATGCAATGCTTTCAGGTTATGCACAAAATGGTTTTGCAGAAGAGGCTTTGAAGTTGTTTGGTGATATGGTGAATTCTGGGGTCCAGCCTAACGAAACTACATGGGCTACTGTGGTTTCTTTGTGTTCATTGTTTGGTGATCCTTGCGTTGCAGAATCAATTGTGAAAATGCTTGATGGAAAGAGGATCAAGATGAATTGTTTTGTAAAGACAGCTTTGCTTGATATGAATGCCAAGTGTGGGAATCTTGAGGCTGCTAGGAACATTTTTAATGAACTTGGGGTTCATAGGAATTCTGTTACATGGAATACTATGATTTCAGCATATACAAAGGTTGGTGATTTGGATTCTGCCAGAGACCATTTTGATAGGATGCCAGAAAGAGATGTGGTTTCATGGAACACAATGATTTCAGGTTATGCTCAAAATGGGCAGTCTGCGAAGGCAATTGAAATTTTCAAAGAAATGATTAGTTCTAAAGACTTGCAACCAGATGAAGTGACAATGGCCAGTGTTATCTCAGCATGTGGACATCTTGGGGCTTTGGAATTAGGCACTTGGGTGGTTAATCATATCACTGAATACAAGATTAACTTGAGTATTTTGGGATATAATTCTTTGATTTTCATGTATTCAAAATGTGGAAACATGAAAGAAGCTCATAGGATCTTTCAAGAAATGGAAACAAGAGATGTGGTTTCCTACAATACTTTGATTGCTGGTTTTGCTGCTCATGGCAAGGGAATTGAAGCCATAAAACTATTGTCAACCATGAAAGAAGAAGGAATTCATCCTGATCGTGTGACATATATCGGTGTCCTGACAGCATGCAGCCATGCAGGATTAATGGAAGAAGGTCATAAGGTCTTTGAATCGATTGAAAGTCCTGATGTAGATCACTATGCATGCATGGTTGATTTGTTAGGTCGAGTTGGAAAACTGGATGAGGCCAAAAAACTAATAGATAACATGCCAATGGAACCACATGCTGGAGTCTATGGCTCTCTTTTACATGCTAGTCAGATTCATAAAAGAGTTGACTTTGGAGAACTTGCTGCAAAAATGCTGTTTCAGCTTGAACCACAAAATTCTGGAAATTACGTTTTGCTTTCTAACATATATGCTTCAGCTGGGAGGTGGGAAGAAGTCAACCGAGTGAGAGAAATGATGAGCAAAGGGGAAGTGAAGAAGACCGCTGGATGGAGTTGGGTGGAGTACCAAGGTAAAGTGCACAAGTTCATGGTTGGAGATAGATCACATGAACGATCAGATGATATTTATAGGTTATTGGCAGAATTAGCAAGCAAGATGAGAAGGCACGGGTACACTGCTGATAGAAGCTGTGTGCTAAGAGATGTTGAAGAGGAAGAGAAGGAGCATATGGTGGGAACTCATAGTGAAAAACTAGCTATTTGCTTTGCCCTTCTTGTTAGTAAATCAGGAGCAGCGATTAGGGTAGTAAAGAACTTAAGAGTATGTTTAGATTGCCATACTGCTATAAAGCTGATATCCCAGTTAGAAGGAAGGGAAATAATCGTGAGAGATAACAACAGGTTTCACCATTTCAATGATGGGCTATGCTCTTGCAAGGATCATTGGTAATGTAAGAGAAGAGAATTTAGTATGAGCATGCTAATGAGGTCACCAGCAAACTGGGGTGGTTTTCATGCTTAAGGAATACTACAACAATAATAATTAAGTCTTAATCCCAGATTAATTGAGGTCTGCTGTATGAATCATTTATTCCCATTTTACTTTGTTCATAGCTAATTCATGGTCAAGGAATGAGAAAAAGAAAAAAAGCCGATTTAGTCATTCAATTATACTTAAATACACTAATTAAGACCCCTATTTTCAAATTTTAATTATATAGTCAATCGATCTATCTCCATCACAGTATTTAATTCTTCTTGTTATTTTTCCTTTAATTACTATTGAAATGTCGTTATTGTCCTTTATGAATACACGACACGTGGCATTTAAAATTGCCTAAACAAGTGAGTTATTATTTAGCCCAATTGTTATATTCAAATACATTATAGGACCTTTTATATTTAGAATTTAATTACATAATTGATTATTTTGTCCTGTTATGCTACTTAATCCTTTTGACTCACAACAAAATTCAACAAAAAGATTAAGTAGTGTAATAAAATAAACAACATGGGACTATGTAATTAAACTATGAAAATAAGGTCTCACTGGTGTATTTGAGTTATCAGCATAACAAGGGGACTAAATATCAATTCACTCAAAAAAGCATGAAGCTTAAAATTATGTTATTACTATTTTTGTAGTTGAGAGGTGCACTGAAATGGGAATCGGCTTCTTTGATTTTGAACACCAGAGGTGAGGTAATTATAGCCATTGCTTCTTGGCTATTGCAAGGAAGTGCAATGTTGGACATGAAGCATATTTTGTGAATGGAATTTCTAAAAATGTGCATCCAAAATTCACTGGGAAGAAGAAACCAGTACTTTATGAATAATTAACACAATTTGGAAGAGAAGAATCTAAGACGAAGCACGAGTAGGCAAGAAAGTCTGATAACAGTAAACGGTAAGAGCTCAACAGAATAGAGCAGATTTTATGGTGATTTGAAATATATCAGTCGAAGTTGCAGGGAGAACATTTTAGCGGCAAATTATCTACTTTTTGCTCTTTTTTTATTTTTATTTTTATTTTTATTTTTTATCAATATTTGATTGCATTTGGGCTTTGTCAAATGTGTGTAAGCACAAAGTTTTGCAAGATTGCCAAATTCTCCTGTAGCAGTAGTTGGGTCAATGCCATATAAAAAGTCACCACTTTCCCAATATTAGGTGAAGATATATACCATTAAATAGTAATATCAAGATCAAACTTTCAGCGTGCTCTTCTTTTTCCTTTCCATTTCTTTTAGCATCTTTTCCCCTTGATACAGGCATTGTCTAGTCCTCTAGCCGAGGATAAGTCAACTTAAAAGCAAAACACAAAAATTACTTAGATTTTCACCAGAAATTGTAATAGTTCTTATCATCTGAATTTTTTTTCTATTAGGGTGTTCTTATACAAGTCTTGTATAAAATCCAGCACAACTTTCATTTGTGCTTGCTTTCCTTGTGCCAAGAGCATGTCTGTGCTTGGACAAGCAGTTCTATCTGCTTTTCTTCAGGTATTGTTTGACAGGTTAGCTTCTCCAGAATTGCTCAGATTCGCACGCCAAGAGCAAGTTTATGCTGAATTCAAGAAATGGGAAAAAATACTGCTCAAAATACATGCAGTGCTTGATGATGCAGAAGAGAAGCAGCTGACTAACCACTTTGTGAAGATTTGGTTGGCTGAGCTCAGAGATCTGGCTTATGATGTGGAGGACATATTGGATGAATTCACCACAGAAGCTATTCATCGTGGATTGGTTATTGAACCAGAAGCCAACACAAGTAACCTACGCAAACTTATCCATACTTGTAACAATTTGATTCCAAGTAATACTGTGTTTAGAGTTAGGTTGGGATCCAAGATGAAAGGGATAACTGCTAGGTTGCAAGAAATTTCAGGTCAAAAAAGTGACCTGGATTTGAGAGAAAATTTGGAAGGGAGCTCCAGCAAACTTAGAAAAAGATTACCCACAACTTCTTTGTTGAATGAAGCTCAAGTTTTTGGCAGGGAAAGTGATAAAGATGCTGTACTTGAATTATTGTGGAAGGATTATGTCTATGATGGCAAAATCTGCGTAATAGCAATAATAGGCATGGCTGGGGTAGGCAAGACAACTCTAGCACAACTCATCTACAATGATAACAACGTGAAGGATTTTTTTGATATAAAAGTGTGGGCTTGTGTATCCGATGATTTTGATGTTTTAAGCATAACAAAAACAATTCTTGAATCGATAACCCAGACGACTGTTGGTTCCAATTTAAATTTGCTTCAGGGTAGACTACAAGATGTACTAACAGACAAGAAATTTTTGCTTGTTCTAGATGATGTTTGGAATGAAAACTACCATAATTGGGATGTCCTTTGCAGTCCTTTTAGAAGTGGAGCACCAGGAAGTAAAATAGTTGTCACTACTCGAAATGAAGATGTTGCATCAATCATGGGTTCTGTTGCAGCTTACCATCTAAAGGAGCTGCCATATGATAGTTGTTTGCCTTTGTTCACTCAACTTGCATTAGGAACTAATAACTTCGATGCACATCCTAACCTGAAAGCAATCGGTGAGGGCATAGTGGAGAAATGTAAAGGCCTGCCTTTGGCAGCGAAGACACTTGGAAGTCTATTTCATACTAAAGTAAGCCAGGATGCATGGGAGGATATACTTCACAGCAAAATATGGGACTTACCTGAAGAGAAAAGTGGTATCCTTCCAGCACTAAGATTGAGCTATAATTATCTACCTTCTCAACTAAAGCAGTGTTTCGCTTACTGCTCAATTTTCCCTAAGGACTATGAGTTCAGTAAAGATGAATTAATTCTTTTATGGATGGCAGAAGGTTTCTTGCAGCAACCAAAAGGAACAAAGCGAATGGAAAATTTGGGAGCAAAGTACTTCGATGATCTACTATCAAGATCACTGTTCCAGCAATCAAGCAGAAATGGTTCACGATTTTTAATGCATGATCTCATCAATGATCTAGCTCAATATGTAGCAGGAGAAATATGCTACCGGTTGGAGGAAAAGTTGGGGAAAGTGCAAAAAGCTCGACATGTGTCCTACATTCGTCACCGATATGAAGTCTTCAAAAAATTTGAGATACTTTATAAAGCTAAAAGCTTGCGCACTTTCTTGCCACTGCCAGTTCTAATGACAATTAGTTGGCGTAATTTTTATATGACAAGAGATGTGATATATGAGTTGCTTCCAAGACTAAGGTGTTTAAGGGTGCTATCCTTGAGTGGTTATTGCATTAAAGCGCTGCCAGATGTGATTGGCAAGTTAAAACACTTGCGTTATCTTGGTTTATCTCACACTTTGATCAAAACCTTGCCTGTTTCTGTGAGTAACCTCTGTAATTTACAAACTCTCATCTTACATAGTTGCACTGCTCTTCTGAAGTTGCCTGCAGGCATTGTGAACCTTATTAATCTGCGCCACCTAGTTATTAGTGATACGAAAAACCTGCAAGAGCTACCCTTATTTATGGGTAAACTGACAAACTTGCGAACACTGTCTAAATTTATGGTGGGGAAAAGCAGTGGATCAAAGATAACAGAGCTGAGGGACATGTTGCGTCTCCGTGGGAAGCTTGCCATTTCTGGCTTGCATAATGTGGCAGACATCTATGATGCTGGGGAAGCAAACTTACTGTTTAAACAGGATCTTCAAGAGTTGGTCCTGGAATGGAGCAACAATATTGAACTTCAAGATGAAAGGGATGGCAGAGTGGAAATGGATGTTCTTGACATGCTGCAACCTCATAAGAACTTGAAAGTACTGAAAATTGAATTCTATGCAGGAATGGCATTTCCCAGTTGGATTGGAGATCCTTCATTCTCTAAACTCATGAGCTTAACTCTTAAAAAATGTACAAAATGTTCATCACTGCCATCACTTGGGAAACTGCCGTTTTTAGAAGATTTGTGCATCGAAGGCTTACAAAGTGTAAAAGTTGTAGGCCTTGAGTTCTATGGTGAGGATGTCTCCATCACGCCTTTCCCCTCATTGAAGAAATTAACATTCAGTGATATGTTAGAGTGGGAGGACTGGTCTTCTACAATTGCAGAAGAAACATTTGACAGTGAATTCCCTTGCCTCTGTGAGCTTCACATAATGAATTGTCCTAAGTTGATAAAGAGATTGCCAAACAACCTACCTTCACTTGTAAAACTTGATATTAGTAGATGCCCATTGTTGGAAGCTCGGCTTCCCAGACTTTCATGTCTTTATGACATGAGTTTGGAAGAATGTAATGAGGTCACAGTAACAAGTTTAGCTCTTCTAACTTCATCTTCACTCACTAAACTGCAGCTGCGGAACATCTTAAATTTTAGCCAATTGCCTGAAAGAATTATGCAATGCTCACCATTACTTAAAGTTGTGCAGGTTAGCAATTGTACTGAATTGACAACTTTAAGGCATACTGGAGATCTACTGCAGGACAGTAAACTTGAAAGATTGGAATTACATAACTGTGGTAGCTTGAAGGAGCTGCCCGATAGGTTCTTCAGCTTCACATCACTCTCAGAATTAAAGATCAAGCGATGCCCAAATCTTGTGTCTTTTCCAGAGCTGGGGTTTCCATTAATGCTTAGACATCTTATTATTGAAGAGTGTGAAGCACTTGAATGCCTACCTGATGGAATGATGACAAATAGAAACAATGAAAGCGACAATATTTCTCTTCTCGAGAGATTGGAAATCATTAAATGTCCATCTCTGAAATCTTTTCCCAGAGGTGAGTTACCAAACAGGCTTAAGGTGTTTAAGATATGGGACTGTCTGCAGTTGGAATCACTTCCAGGAACATTGTTACAGAATACCACATCACTCGAGTGCTTCAGTGTGCGGAAGTATTCGAATTTGAAAACCTTACCGGAGGGCTTACATTGCCTAACTCATCTTATTGAACTGCACATAAGCTATTGTGCTGGTCTAGAGTCATTTCCAGAAAGAGGGCTGCCTGCTCCAAACCTAAGAAGGCTTTACATATTCAATTGTCCGAATCTAAAATCCCTGCCTAACAACATGCAAAGCCTCACTGCACTCCAGCATTTACAACTATCTAGTTGTCGAGGCCTTGAATCATTTCCTGAAGATGGGTTACCCTCCAACCTAACATCAGTTCGGATCAATAACTGTGAAAATCTCCCACGACTATCTGAGTGGAGATTACACAGACTCTACTCACTCAAGGACTTAACTATATCTGGTGGACGTCCACATTTGGTGTCTTTTGCACAAGAGTGTAGGCTTCCTGCAGCTCTGACATATCTTTGCATTGAGAAGCTCCTAAATCTAGAGTCTTTATCGATGGGGCTCCAGCACCTTACCTCACTGGAGGTATTGGAAATTAGAGAGTGTCCTAAGCTCCGTTCCATACCAAGAGAAGGTCTTTCTTCCACTCTTTCTATAATACAAATTTCAGACTGTCCTATTCTGAAAAGACAGCTGCTGAAGAAGAAAGGAAAATATGCATCTATTATAGCCAATGTCCCACGGGTGGAAATAGATGAAGTATTACTGCAATGATCCATAAACAAGATAAATTTTCAGTATTCTCAAAGGTAAGTAAAAATACAATATGAAACTTATATTTTTCTCTTCTTTTGCTGAGTGACAGATTTTGAGATTTTGATGCAAGTCTGATGCTCATGTAGGTAGGCAAAGGATGCATATGGTACAAGAAGGCCTCATCATAGACATGGGCTTTTCCGCATTTCGGAAATGTTTTCAGGTATCAATTTCCCTGTATAAAATACCGTTTCCCCGTGTAAAATTATATTTTAAATGTCGTTTCCCCATATCATTTCCGTTTCCATGCAACAAAGGCCAGTTTCATCAATTTAGTGTACCTGCTTTCTCTTCCATGATTATTTTTCATTAGGAAGTGCTATTGTTAAGATAGTTCCCAGTAGGCAATTTTGATGTTAACCAAAATGAATGATTCAACAGTTTATTTCCTCTAATTCTCTGTTCTTATCGAATTTAAACTTGTTCAGCTATGATTTCTGACGCAATGGCTACTTCTGAATGTAAATTTTTACATTGGCTCATCCTGATTAGAGGACTTCCTTGATTGTCTTGTGTTGTACAAGTTGATCAACTGGAGGATATTTATTTAATTCGCTACATTACATTCAACTAATTATGAAATGCTAGCATTCGACACCAACTTTCTTGGACAGGATAACCGTTTTATGAGGGGGTAAAAAATGATGCATCTTCAATCAAATTTGTTCTACTATACATTCTTCTTTTCTTTTTCACAAATTAAGGAAAAAAAAAAAAAACCTACTTTGACAAATTAATTTCATCGTCTAACTAATACAACAATTTGTAATCTGTGTGTGAAACTCAGACTGTTCAAAAATGGCGCATCCCCCCCAACATTCCGAGAAATACAGGCTTTTGCGATGAGAGACTCCACATTGCCCAAAACGAAATGCCACAGGCATTGCCGCCAGTAATGTGCCAGAATCTTGCGCTCATCAGTAGCATAATATTTTCCAATAATCCATGTGATAATGCATAAAAAAGTTCGAGCGTTCATTAAATGCATACCAGAGATTGAAAGTTGATAACTACCTTAGCTGGTTGTGCAGCAGGCAAATATCATTCAACTGATTAAACCTGCATAAATCGCCACCCAGATTGTAAGATGAATTAGAACTGCTCACGATGACACTGATAAATATCACAAAAAGAAAAGGGACAGAGAAGATAATTATGGACTGATTTCAGATCAAAAAATAGTACTTTTCAGAGAATACCTTCTCCATGTCCATTTCGCGAAGCTGGCTCAAGACCCCTGCAAAATCTGGAGGAGGCGGACAAGAAAAGTTTATTTCTTTCCCTGTGCGTGGATGTGTAAACCTACAAAACAATTGATAGAGATTACAATTTTTGCATCATCCAGTGACATTTTCAAACAAGCAAATAATTGAGACCAAGCTTTAACTTCTAGTTGCCTAACCCAAGAGACAAAGCATGGAGACACGGCCTCTCTAATCCTGAAAGCAATGATGAAAGTTGATTTTGAAAGCTAGCTGGTATTCTAGGTCGAAGCAGTGACAAAGCCATGCCCGTGGTGCTTCCATAAACCTCATCTCCTAATAGAGGAATTCCAATGTACTTTGCATGTGCACGAATCTAAGTTAGAAGGAAATAAAATAAAATAAAAAGGTTAGAAACTGCTAATCAACACCAGTGAAACAAACTAAATGCAGACCAGCAGCAGTAGAGAGCTGTTTGGTTGCATTATTTTGCTAATAATAAAACCAAGTCTCCCCTTATTGCGGTTAAATTCCATCGTCTCATGATGCATTTTTAGCTTGATAGAATATGTTAAATATGATATCCAAACATTAATGCGAAGAATAATTCTACATTTTTAGTACCTGATGAGTACGCCCCGTTTCTAACCTCCATTCAACCAATGCTGAACCACCGCCGGCAAGTATTTCAATAACTTTATATCTGATCAATGTGTAACAAATTATCCCGCATAAAATATAGCTTGAACAGCTTCTGACATTAACTAACTATTATGGAATCCACACACTAAAAACGTTGGGAATAGGATAGCACAAGTAAGAGAACAGCCAAGTAGACACTGCAAATTCATTTACAACAGAACTGGTACCACAAGATAAATACACTAGCAAAAGTGTTGATCATGAAAGCATCAATTCTACCAGACAGCATCATCAAGTATATAGATACATTTATAACCATAGCTGGTTCCCATTTAAATTTCGGAATCTTTTTTCATCTCTCTCCATGTTATTAATTTTAGTTTCTTTAAAAAAAAATCTTAAGAGAAATCGTCTTTGTCAAGAAACTGCTTCAACAAAAGGAGAAAAAAAAAAGCACCATACACAATTGATGGGGAAAACGGGAAGAAATTAAAAGAAAGTCCCAATTCTTAGACCTTGTGAACCACACAGCATCTCCATAGGAGGTAAAAGTATTTTAGATTCTCCAAATATTACCCCTCTTTTGGTGGGACCTTGATTAGCGATGCTTGACTGTTGCCCCCCCACCCGAGTTAAATTGTAATCAAGGGCAAAATGCACACGACATCTTCAGTCAATGATATCATAAACCATGATTTCTTGAAGGCCATCTTATCACATTAGAAGAATTGCTGTCAATCAAAATTGAATCCACAACATACCCAAGCCTTTGCCTTTCATGATGAATTGAGTTTTAATATTTATAGAACACTCATATTCACATTTGAACTGATGTTTCTGATCATTTCATGGACTTTAATAACTAACAACGATCTCAAACGAAAATAAAGGACTGGAAAAAATTGATGTGACCTCTTTACCATAACCATCAAAAGTTCTGACCAGCTAGCAGTTGTTCAGTTTATCAATGTCCATAAATACTCATGCAACCAACTTGGATTCAATCACTAAAGTAAGAATTAGAAAATGATAGAAACTAATAATCACCTACTAGCAGCATGGCGTGCATGTCCCTGCTTAACTGGTCCAGATATAGCAGCCATACGAATCCTGTTATTCACATCACGACCAATAGGGATATCAATACGCCCAGTCAATGCAGAGGGCACTCCAGAAGTAAGACTAATGTACACTCTCTGGATAGTATGTTGCTTGAATTGTTCAGATAAATGGGCATGAGCATGTTCATCCTGTTTTAAATAAATAATAAAGCATTAACAAAATGGTGGCATTGCTTAACAGCAAAATCAAACTATTAAATATGCAAGAACCAACATTGATTTAGTTTTCTAGATTCTGGTGTTGAAGAGGGGAGTATCACCTTTGCAACGACAAGCAACCCACTAGTGCCTTTGTCCAACCTATGAACTATGCCTGGGCGAACAGATGATACACATGAGCTGGAACATGACCCTTCATCATCAGAAATATCTTCCACATCTGAAAGGACTTCCTGGCTTGAAGTTACAACTGTTGGAAGACTACAATGGTGAAGTATGCCATTTACAAGTGTGCCAGTAGGGTTACCAGGTGCTGGATGAACCACCTAGTTGACAGTTAAATAAAGAATGCCACGTGCAGGGTCATAATTTCACTCCCAATCACATCAGAAATTACATATGCACTCAACTTGCTTGTAATACATATAAACAGCAAATGATATTTAACAGAAGAATGAGATCTTGATACTAAAGTTTCAAGTGGTTACCATGTGCGGAGGCTTATTGACAACCAGTAAGTGATCATCTTCGTAGATTATATCCAAAGGAATGTCCTCAGCTTCAGCTCTCAAGGGTTGCAATTCTGAAATAGTGCAAATGACCTTATCCCCAACCTTGACACTGTGTGAAACCTGCTTAAAAACGACATTGAAATTCAAAATTCCGCATTCACAAAAAAAGGACACAAATTTCGTAACAATCAAGCCACAAGTCTTTTACCCAAAATGCTTCATAAGATTTAAAATAATAACAAAAATTTAACTTTAACGTACTTAGTTAAAAAAAAATTAAGCAACTCAATTATGAATGTGGCATTCAAGGATTAAACAATTAAAACAAAAAGGAATAAAATTTTAGTCCAACCATATTCGAAACAAGCAAAAAAACATAAAAATACAAACAATAAAGTAAAATTAACCTTATCAACAACCCTGCCATTGACAGCAACAAGCCCTGATTTAATACTGGACTGCACACGAGCTCTACTAATTCCAGAAATACGAGAAGAAATCCAAGAATCAAGCCTCAACTTTCCTGACTTAGCCTCTACAGTCTCCTCAAGTCTCAAACCAGCATAATTAATTCTTTGGTTTTGGTTTTGTTTTTCACTTGAACCAGAACAAACTGTAAACATTCTCAAAAGAAGCTTAGAAGAAGGAAAAACTCTAGGATTTCGATGGAAAAAAGAAATAGAAGATGAAGATTGTAAGGCTTTAGCAGATGGGCCTATACAGCAACAAGATACAGAGTAAAGAGAACGCATCCTCTTTCTAATATCTGTAACTCCAATTGTATATACAGAAACTAATTCCAATATATAACCAAGAATACAAAATGAAACTCTCCAACCAGCTCCAATTACTGAACCAGTGCACAATCTTCTGTAAATAATAAGCTAGAAGACGAAAAATAAAATGAACTGAGTGAAAGCAACCATGGGAGAGTCTTCCCCACCGCCTGACTGCGCGGAAGTGGCGAGCAGTTTGTCACCGGAGACAGTCAATCTTTAATCAGTCCGATATTCCAATTCCCAGATTACGGGGATCTTTAATCCGACTGCGCGTGGAAGTGAAATGGGTATTTTATCCGCCGGCCGACTATTCGATCCAACTGATCCGAATGTGGTGGTATCACCGGATCCGTTTATTAACGGATAGTACTATAACTTTCAATTAAATTATATACTACAATATTTTATTTTAAACTTTAATGTCCTATCAATAATATTGGAGAATATTCCAAAAAAATAAATAATAATATTGAAAATGTTTTTTTTTTTTTTTTGAGAGGAATAATATTGGAAAATGTTAGTAGAAGTTCAAACCAATTTTTTTTTTTTTTGATATATAGTTTTATTTTTCAATGTAAATAAAAGATTCATAAACTTATATACTCTCTTTGATCTTTTGATACAGGAAATCATGTTCGGTGTTCTTTTTATATAGAAAATTTTGCCTCATTTGATAATTTTGAGAAGTATACCAATGTAAAAAATCTATCTTACCCTTATTTAGTTTTTTATAAAGTTTTTAGTATGAAAGATTTTGAAAACAGTGACACACAAATATATAAATGAACATTTAATATGAATGAATTTAGGAGAATGGATTTTTTCCATCAATTTCCGTTGAAAAAAAGTGCTCATATGTGTTAATGAGCACGGATTAAAATAGAGTTTGAATAAAAAATGTAAAAAAATTTTCAAATTGACCATATTGAAAGGAATTTCTACAGATTTCGTCAAATATTTAAAAAATTGTGCTCTATTTAGAGTATGTTTTCAATAACCAAAGACAGTTGAAAGGTTAAATGAGTACAAATTTTCATATTTTCATACTATTTTCTCAAATAAAGGACAAAAAATAAATTTCTCTCCACAAATAACATAAATTTCTTTTTTGCAATTGTTTGTATTCCCTTCATTCTAACAAAGCATTTAAAGCTTAATTGAAGATTGAAACATAATTTAAAATATACACTGACATTAGAGGATTGAGTAAATGATATATTATGGGTAAATTAGGAAAAAAATGACAAAAGAAGTTGGTTAAACTATTTTGTTTACTCTTAATGGAAAATTAGTTGTTTCTATGTAAAAAAAACGAAGGGAATACATTTTTTTGTTTTTGAAAGGAAACTTATATTCAAATTATTTACTCAAAAAATACTTATTGTGTTAGGTAAAAAAAATAGTGACTAAACAGCCTATTTTTCATTAACATAATTTGTTTTTATTCCTTTAAATTTGCCTAATTTTTTAAATTAGTTCCTGAATAAATTAAATGATTTTTTAACTGTAATTTTTATAAATAAATAGTCATTCTGTCTAAAAGATTAAATTAGTCATTCCTTCATTCTTGTCTAATAGTCATTATGTCGTTATAGGATTAGCCCACAGTAATTCCATCATCAAACACAGAAGATTTTTTTTTTTTTAAGTCAAATGAGAAAAAGAAAGGAAGAGACATGGAAATTTACAAGGACAAATTATAATATTATCAAATACCCAGCAGCTAGTCACTTCAAGCAAATGGTTTTATGATATGGAACCTCTGTGCTGTTGTTTCTGGATATTGAAATTTTGCATCTCAAGATGTGAATGTATAAATATACTAATATTAATCAATTTCTAAATTTAGTTCATTTATTGTATTATTGTTTAGAATTTAATTCAATTTACACTATCGAAATTAAATTTCTAAATCAGCCTATGTTCGTTTAAGAATATATTATTTCTTAATTCTAATATTTTCAAAGTGTTCTCCAGTAAAATCATAGCACAGTTTGGCTTTAAATAACTAGAAGAACTGTAATACCAGTGGATGCTAAATCATAGCAAACCTAAAGAACCTGCCTGTAATGGAGTTTAGCACCACCCTATCTTTTGATGTAAAGGCAAGCAAAGGATTTTCAGTACCCAAATCTAGAAAGACCAATTTTGAGATTTATAAAAGAAAAAAAAGAACTTGAATGAACAAAAGAAATATATTCTTTGAAATATCAAATTTGCAGCTTGATATTTTAACAGAAATTGCAATGGAGTTTCTGTCCCTCTTTTTCAATATCAAGCAAATGGTTTTGGCCTGTTGGAGGGCAGTATTTTGACTTTAACACATGGTTTTGCTTTCTTGGATGTTTATAAATAAATCCTAACATAACCTCCATTTCAATTTCAAACTTTCATCTCTGTTACTTTATATCTGTTCATTCTTGTCCTCTTGTTCACTATAAAATTATAGCATGGAAGCATTGTACCCTGCATCAGAGTACTTGTACTATCCACCACCAGGTGTGTTCACCTTCAAAGAGATACATGGTGGTGGATTGAATGTTGGGTATCTGATTGGAGGAGGGTCTACTATTGGTATTCTCTTGCTCTGGAGTTTATATGTCTTCTTCAAGAAATTCACTTTCTCTGTAGGTTGCAATTGCTCAGTTTCGAACAACAGTGTGATTGACATTGAATCCCAGTTGTAATGAACAAGATTAAAGAGATTTACAATGATTGTATTTGATATCTGTATAAATTAATTTTAGAAACATAGTGATAGGTGTGATTTGATTTTCTAAATATCGTCTTGAACTGCTGGTCAAATACAAGTCTCCAGCAGCTCTTCAATCATTGCAACTATTTCTGAGTCTTCCTGTATGAGAAAGAATTAATATTATTGCATTCTGAGATTTATATAGAATTCCATAGTCGAAAGATAATTTAAAAAGAGAAATTAAATACTTCAATTTGCAAAATCGGTTGCTTTATTAATTGTATTTACAGCTCAAAAGAATAGGTGCAACTGCAGTGCAATGTGCAATTATTGTGATCTCTGTTGGTCCAACTACTTAGTTTACCCCAATGCAGTTGGAGACAGAACAAACATGTGCATTTCAGAATGATCCTCCAGTACATGGATAAAGCACAAATGCAGTTGGAGACAAAGCAAACATGTGCACTTAGGAATGATCCTCCAGTATATGTTCAGTTTACCCCATTGCATCTGGAGACACAACAAACATGAATAATTTTGTTACAAAACTGTATAATGGGAATTTAGCTTATTGATGTTGCTCTTCGCAAAACTTGAAATTTTGTTTTCCAATTATGAAAGCGATGTACCAAAAACTTGAAGTTTTAGGAGATCAGAGCCAGGGTTTTATGGGCCTAACCACCGATTTCACTCCAAACTTTTCGAGTAGTTATAATTTCACCCTAAATCGACTTTTGTATACTAGTTATTTTGGATTTCTAAACCTAGTTGAGATTACATCCTTATTTTCTTTAAAGAGTGAAATTACATCCTAAAAGCGAATTTAGGACAGTCTGAACTTATCGACTATTGCAATTACACTCTAAAAGCAAATTAAGATTTCGATTTTGACTAAAATAATGTAAAATAGACCCAAAAACTAACCCAAAATCAATTAAATGCAAAACACATCGTTTGAATTAAAAGGAAGAATTAATCACTCCGTCTCTTTTCTCCTCCAACTTATTATCTCTCTCCTCGTGGGAAATTAAGCAGGCAACCACCAAAAATAATAGTAAATAAAGGTGCAAGATACTGGAGCCTAGGCGAGAGGCATGGGCAAAGGCACACGCCTATGTAAAGCGAAGCGCTAAAAAATAGAGTAACGCTTCCAAATCAAATGTTAAATAATTGTTTTACTAGCATAACTGTTTGAATAGAGTTCTCTTTCAAAAATAAATGTTCAACTGTTTGAATAGAGTTCTCTTTCAAAAATAAATGTTAAATAGAATGATGTTTTATAATCGGCCATCTCAAAACACTGGTATAAAAAAAATTATATTACCAGATACTATAAATGATATAAAATACTCTGATTAAGCTGCGTCAAAAGGCGGTCGTCGGATAGGGAGAATGTCTCATGAAATTAGGACAGTTGAAAATTAGAATTAAGTTCCATCCTATTAGGATGGTCTTCATGGTTGTACCATAGTCTCTGCAGTATTAAAATTACACAACTTTTCTTCGTTTTTATTCTTTGATAGTTTACATTAAATCACAGTTTGGACTCAAAAATTTTTAAAATTTAACTAAATTATAGTCATTAAACTGTTATATTGTAAAAAAGAAAAAATTAGTGTCAAAATTTTTTTTTTTCAGTTGTAGCAGTATAAAGATTAGAACTATTAAACAAGGCTGCACGCAAGAAACTTCTTACTACAACCAAGAAAAGTACATCCATAGAAAAACAAAATTAAAACTAGAAGAAAAGAAACCTCAATGGCCCGATGAGTTCTTATGATTGCTCTTCTTTTTTCAGTAATCAATCTGTCTACCACTCTATGCAAAACAATAAAGTACATATCACTCCAAGATCTTCTGATTGCAAAAATAAAAAATGGAACCAATAAACCTGCTGCAAAATCCCAATCCGACACTCGAGTAAAACCATTTGTCAACCAAGCTATCACCATTATCGGAGTGAATCAGGTGAACACTTTATTGCAAGAGTATCTCCCATAGACCTGGGTTTCCAACATAACAGTATGCAATCAGCATCAGAAGTTATCTGATTATATCAGTTGATGCATTTGTATAAGCACTATTGAGCAAAACTCATTTCTATAAATAAGAATTCAACACCGACCCTGCAAAACATGGAAACCTAGCTTACCGAAACTATTCTCAAAGCATAATTTATCCATCATTGACAAAAAATGAAATTAATACCCATTAATCATTCATCAAGCAATAAGAGAATTAAGAACGGTGCAGCTAATATATATTCAACACCGACCCTGCAAAACATGGAAACCTAGCTTACCGAAACTATTCTCAAAGCATAATTTATCCATCATTGACAAAAAATGAAATTAATACCCATTAATCATTCATCAAGCAATAAGAGAATTAAGAACGGTGCAGCTAATATATATATATAATAGAATTAAGAACGGTGCAGCTAATATATATATATATACCGATTAAGTAAAAGCTGTTAAAAACATATAATCCCTATTAACCATTTCAGCCAAGTAAAACATTTTGAATAAAAAAAGAAGTCATTCTAATTGCAGAAAATTGATGTACATTCTTTTATCAAGAGCTGTAAGAGTTAAAATTCCTGTCTTTATAATTGCATCAGATACAACCAATCTGGTAGTTGTTTCATTGCTAAGGATTCTTAAACAAAAGGTTTCATTGGTCAAATGCAAACCTGTATTATCCTCAAGTAAAACACAAATCAAATGCAAATTTGTGGTATATGATGCTGCGGAAGTTGAATTATTTGTAATTATCTGCAAAATTATATTTCTACAACAACACACTGTGGGAGATTTGCATGTACAAGCAAATTATCCAAAGAAACACCAATGTATAGAATCATCAATACTAATATTATTGCGAAGGAATTTTCTAAAACCATATCAAAACCTCAAGGATCAACATGAACACCATTAAGCAAATAAAATTAAGAAGAATAGAGATGTTTTATCAATATCATCATTGATTTAACTATCAAAGATCATTAAAGCCCCCTGTACCAACCAAATCATTTCACAGTAAAAGGATAAGCCATTAACCTAATTTATGAAGAAAATAACAAAAGCCACTAACCTAATGCCTCGATCATAGGTTGGTTAGGAGATGAGCGGCTGAGGAGATATAAGAATACAGCTATGCATTTTGGATAATAGAGATAATATTTTTGAGTGTTTTAATTTTGAGGAATTCATTTCTACCAATTTTAATAGAATTAGAGTTAATATATCCAACTCTATAGAATTGAATCCATAGAATTCAAATCTGAATTTTTTTACATTCGAAACACAAAACTTTGGATTTATTAAATGAATTCTACAAAATTGTGGAATGCATTTATATTCCAAATGAGCTGTAAGTGATATAACTCAAAACAGAACAATACCTCCTGTGACAGAATAACAATTGTTCTATCTTAAAATCACACTTCAACTTTACACCTTAGGCAAATTTTAGAGCAGCTTAATAGCTTTTTCACAAGTAGATAATCGTTTACTCCATGGTAGTGGCATATGCAGAAAACACCATGCCAACAATTTCATGGGTTACTTTTGTTACCATGGACAAATCATTGTATTGTACACATCCTTGGATAATCATGTTGTAAGAGCAACCATTCCCTTCCATTTTTTCTGAAAACCTTCAATGCTTCATCTAGTAATCCTTCTTTGCAAAGTCCATTGACCATTATATTATGTGAAAACATCACGATGCAGCCCTTCTATGCAAAGTCTAGAAAACAATTCCTATCCTTGGATAATCATGTTGTAAGAGCAATCATTCCCTTCCATTTTCCCAAAAGCCCTCAATACTTCATATAGTAATCCTTCTTTACAAAGTCCATTGATCGTTATATTGTATGTGTAAACATCAGGCTACAATCCTTCTATAGAAAGTATTCCCTTCCATTTTCCAGAACGCCTTTAATGCTTCATCTAGTAATCCTTCTTATACTTCATCTAGTAATCCTTCTTTACAAAATCCATTGACCATTGTATTCCTGAAGGCCTTCAATGCTTCATCTAGTAATCCTTCTTTACAAAGTCCGTCGACTATTATATTGTATGGGTAAACATTAGGCTGCAACCCTTACATGGAAACCCTTACATGGAAAGTCTAGAAAACAGTTAACCACTTGGTAAGCAACCATTCCCTTCCATTTTCCTGAAAACCTTCAATGCTTCATCTAGTAATCCTTTACAAGGCATTTCCCCAAGAATCCGCATTATCAAGATGTTGTAGGTAACAACATTAGGTGTATGACCATTGCTTACCATTAGGTCAAAAATTTCTCTAGCTTGATCCACTTGGTTGTGTAGACAATATCCGTCCATCAATGAACTGTAGGTGATAACATCAGGCTTTATTCCTCTTTGAATCACCAATTTGACTACACAATCAAGCATCTCAGGCTGAAAACCAAGTTTGAAGACTTTCCCAATAAAAGGGTACCCAAAATCCACACGGTCTAAGCACCAGAAGCAATGAAGCAATATATTAACGAAGTTAATATTGTATGGAATTCCAAACAATTTCATATGTTTGATAAAGAAATGACAGTCTCATAATGTTTCAATCGAACAAGTGCAGACAATAATTTATTAAATTCCATAATAGGAGGTGAGTAATTCTATGAAGCATCAGATCGAAGGAAGCTAAAGCATCATCAACGTTATGAAAGGAATCAGATTTGCTTTTACCTCTCAAATATGTACTGCTTTTAGAACTACTATAAGAATCTGAATCAAAGATACCCATTGGCTGATGAAACCGAAAATTAGTAAGGCATCTCCGGCTCCGGCTGCGGCTGGTAGTAGACATCACCGATTATCTGCCTCTGCATAAAGCGGAAGAACCAATGTTGGATACAGTTTTTGAGAGAAATTTGACGAAAAGGGCATCTTGCTCTCGTTTACTCTGACCTAACTTTCTCGATTTCTCTTCTTAAATGATGAAAAATGGATCGGGTCGCCCACCATGAAACCGGTCCCTAACTAATAACTTATCATATTTAATAAATAATAAAAAAAGTAAAAATGACGTGGGAAAATTCCCTGTGCCATATTTCAAAATTGAAAAATAAAATATTTCTGAAAAATGGAATTATTATTTTAAAACACTTAAAAAGAAAATTAGAATTTTGAGATGGACGGAGTACTATTTTTAATTTTATTAGTTAATAAAATAAAGGTAATTAAATTTGATTAATTACATTATTTTCCTACTTAAATTTAAGTTCTATTTGTTAAAAATAGAATAAAAAATTATTAAATAAAATAATAGTATACAAAATGATTATAAATTTAGGGCCGTTTGGTTTAGCAGTTCGTACAAGCTGATAATCGCTGATAACTAGTAGCTGATGACTGACAGCGGTTATTTTTATATAATATGTTGTAAAATATATATGTAGATATATATTTTTTAGTTTGAGGTGAATATATTATTTTTTATTTCAATGTATTATATTAATAAAATAATAATTAAAAATTTAAAAATAATATTTTAAAGAAATTATTTGAATATATTATTTTTTATTTCAAAATGTATTATATTTAATAAAAATAATAATTTAAAAATTTAAAAAATTTTAAAAATAATATTTTAAAGAAATTATTTTTAAATAACTATAAACAAAATTATGAAAAAAATATCAATTTGAAAATAAAAATTATTAGCAATTATTTTTATGAGGTTAATTAAGTCCAAAATAATATAAATACAAATTTGCTATCAGCTGATACAAAAAAAAAAAGACCAAAACGTATTAATGGAAACAGCAATTGATTGAGACTTTTATCAGCTATCAGCTAAAAGCTGCTGATTAAAAAGCTTACCAAACACCTACAACGTAACTACATGAAATAGCTGGACCAAACGTCGCCTTAATAAAGTAAAAAATTCAATAAAATCCTTAAGAAGTTCTATATTAATTAGAATTTTTAATTTAAATACTATAATATATAGTTTATACAAACGTGAGATTGAAAGAAAAATAATAAATTTTCGACATCTTTAGTGAAATTTAAGATATTTAAAATAATTTTGGTTATTCCAATTAAAAATTTAGTAATATACAAAATGTCAGTTGTCCAAAGTATTACAAATTCAATTTTTTTAATTTAAAAATATTTTTTAAATATTAGGGCATCATGTGAAATTGATTTATTAGGAATAAATGGCTTGGTTGAAATTAATTTAACACTTTTGACCGTTTTCCTTCCACTTTCTTACTTAATCAGCATGAGAAAAAGAAAAAAAAATATATATATATATATATATTGGTAAATATTTTTCCACTTAGAAGACAACCTCAGAGCCTAGGATAAACTTCTTTACAACGTCTTTAGTTTACTCTTTCTCCTGTTTTTTGGCAACATTGTTTTCTCAGTAAATAATTTAATTATGTGATTATCACATTATAATCTGATAGTGACAGATCCAACAAGAAGACGAAGCTAAGGATAAGGGGAGACTAGGAGATTGAAGGAGCAAAGTTTTCAAGCAGATGCTTACATCAAAATTACTTAATTAGTACTTGGAAAATTGAAACATTGATCACCTAAAAACAGCTATTTTAAAAATATTTACACTGTTCTCAAACAATTTCACCAAAGAATAGGCATGGCCGGTTCAATGAACCACCGGTTTCGGTTCATTGAACCGCCTGTTCAAGATGTTTAAAATTTTGAACCGGAACCGACCCTTGAACCTCCGGTTCCGGTCCGGTTCCGGAACCGGAACCGACCCTTGAACCTCCGCGTTCCCGGTCCGGTTCCGGTTCCGCACGGTTAGCACCGCGTTCTCGGCTAACCGACGGTCAAATTAACGCCACTACGTTCGATTCAGTCCGGTGCATTTACACAAATTTTTTAAAAAAATAAATAAGATTTTTGATTTTCGAATTCATGAATAAATAATAATTTTAAAATGTTTAAATTTTATTAACTAAAATAAATTATTATAAAATTTTTAAAACAAAAACTTCTATTAATTTAGGGAACTGTTATTACATTTAAATTTACCAAAATTTTGCAACTCACTAATATAGAAAATGAATAAATGGAATATGAAATTAAATGGAATTTAGAATTGGATGTATGAAAATAAAGCAATATTAAGAAGAGGAAGAGGAAAGAGATAGAATATAATTGGTGTCGCAAAAAAAAAAAAATTAATCAACTCATCATATTATACATTATTTTTCATTTATGTAGTTTCCCAAAATTGTCCCTATATAACAGAAAAAAAACAATTATATTTTTGGAATAATTTAATAAAATTATAATTAAATAAATAATTAATTTAATTAATTAAATTATAATAAACAATTATATCTCGTTTTGAAGTTTTAACATTGTGTTAAATTGTTAATTTGTATAGTTAAAAAAACAATATGTATTTGTAACAAAGCTATCAACGATTAAGTGAAAAATGAAATGATGAGCTTTTAAAAAAAAAAAAGTGAAATGATGATGCTTTCCTTTTTTAAACTAAAATTGAGATGTTTTTTTTTCACTATTTTTGGATTATTCCAATAATAATTTTGTTTTGTGGAATCCGGTTCGAAACCGGACCGAAAACCGCGGTTAAACCGCGATCTCCGAGCCGCGTTCCAGATTCATTTTTTAACATTCACATTAACCTTAACCGGCCCTTGAACCGCCCGGTTCCGGTTCAAAATTTTGAAAACGCCGGTTTCGGATTCATCTACAGTACGGTTCGTTTCCGGTTAGAACGAACCAGTGGCCTATGCCTACCAAAAGAACAAATTGTTCTACATCTTTTCCTTTTCAGATTCATTATTCACTGCCGCCCATCCAAATATTTGGAGCATAGCTAAAAAGCTTCCATGGTTAGGGAACCGCCGGTTCCGGTTCAAAATTTTGAAACGCCGGTTTCGGATCATCTACAGTACGGTTCGGTTCCGGTTAGAACCGAACCAGTGGCCATGCCTACCAAAGAACAAATTGTCTACATCTTCCTTTTCAGATTCATTATTCACTGCCGCCCATCCAATATTTGAGCAAGCTAAAAGCTTCCATGGTTAGGAGGGAGAGCCAAAAAATCATGGGTAAAAGATGACAAAAATGGGTTGATCTTGATTTGAGGGTTTGCAGGTTGCAGATCAGAGGCGCAAAGAACGAGAGAAAATAAAAATACGCATTGAAGGTGAAAGGAGGAGAGAGAGAGGGGGTTTGTGTCAATGTGGAGGAGTGAAAAAGTGTTGTCAACTGTAAATGAAATTTAAGTGACAGATTGAAGTGCAGGGACGATATCGTGAGATGGCTAGAAGACGAGTGAAAATAAACCTAACTTTACCAGAAGTCACTCTTTTTCCTTGGAAAAGTCTTTAACATCATAATGATTAGGAATCATAACTGAAACTATAGCTCCATACCCTATCAGTTTATTTCTATAAGGTTATCTGTAACTAAATACAACATAAATCTATCATAATAGATCAACTGAACACATGGCCATAAGCAGATTATAAGATAAGCCACAGACTCCAGGTCAGAACAAGAAAACTGCACGAACAAATGCAATAAAAATATCTATATAGTTACCACCAACTATTTAAAAACACAATTCCCAAGAAAATTTGACATAACATGAACCAGATGTACCGAAACTTAATCCAATCAGCAATCATTCAAATTCATTGAGTAGAATGAGCAACTGGTTCTGTTTTACTTTTTAGAAACTGAAAAGTTGGAAGTTCTAAAACCTTGTCTGCTTTGTTTAATGATTGTCCTGCCTTCAGCTTCAGCATCTAACTTCAGACCCTAGCCCGCTTGCCACTGCAACCTGGACACTTGTACTGCTTAATATGCTCAGCCTTTGCAGGTGTAATCTTCACACATTTGCCATGGAACCATCTCTCACATACATCGCAGCAAATCCAGAATTCATCAGTACCATAACTTTCACCGCATGCCCCACAAGTAGCACCCTGTTCATCATCTTCATCCTCCTCTTCCCCGCTTTCATCTTCTTCCTTTGGTGGTGTCGACATCTTCGCTGCTTTGGTTTGAGATTCAGATTGCCGAGATTGCTTAAAGGCCATATCCAAACAGCAGAACATTAAACCTTGATGTGTAAGCGAACTAAATAGAAACGGGAAATAAATGAAATAATTAAATGCAACTCGTGACTTCTCTTTACCACTTTCCCACTTGATTTGCTTTTGCTACTGTTGTTATGCATTGCAGATTGGTCCTTAACTTGTTTTGTATTTCCTGACACAACTTCAAATATTGTTGGGAGATCATTTATCATTTGGAAAAGCTTCTTCCTGTCAATCACATTCCAACCACAATCAGAATGACATTCCCATTTTGATTTTAATCTCAAGTTGTTGGGCACTGAAGTGGGAATACATGGCAAGGCTTTCCTTATTATGAATATAACAGAATATGAATAATCCTTCATATAGAACCAAAAAATAATTAGGTAACCGCGAAAGACAGGAGGAGCCAAAGGAGAAGTCTGAAATTAGAATGAGGTAGGCAGTGACTTAATCATAATTAAAATACAATATCCCTCAATGAACGCAAGACCAAAGAGAACTAATTGTTAGATATAACTAATCTTGCCATCAAAAACAACTTCTACGTGAATGACATGAGTAGCTAAAATGCACATGCTAAGTAGCAACAACTGCCAAATGGTTGGCTAGGGAACAAAAATTGTTCTCAGACTATAGACCACATGAATGAATCTTCCTGGTGCACGTGTGAATGATAAGTTGCAATTAACACCTCACTCAAAATTTCAAAATTTTCACGTGCAGCCTTTAATGCACAAGTACTTCATGGAAGTATTAATCTATCACGATCAGGTCTCATAACATCAGTATCCTGAAAAGTTTAAGAGTCCAAAAGTTACAATCGATAACTGAAATTGTGTTTTATTAGTTAGATTATATAGCATGTTCTCACTTTCAAAGTACTTGAAATGTTATGCAGATCATAGATCTTCAAACTAAATGCTCTTACATTGTTTCCAAAAGTAATTTATGAAAAGGAAAACATAAATAGCTGAGTTTAATGGCGTGAGCTCGTTACCAATGGGGAATTAAGACAGTAGATTGTAATACAATTATTGAAAAAGAGAAAGGAACAACGTAAATATATGCCTAATATATTTTTTATCTCAAGATGACATGCATCAATGGAGCAATCATACTCTTGACTGCTAACCAAATGCTTTGGGGAAAAAAAAACATATATTTCATTCAGATAGTGCATAGTGCAGATTTTAAGTCAAATACAAGAATGATGTAGCTTTCACCCAACTTATAAGATGCTCACCAAAATATCCATGTACCAATGATTGGAAGAAGTGCTAAAAAACTAATAATAACAATTAGAACCAAGTATATTTAATAATACTTGGAAAGGAAAAATGAAAGACAATTACAGTGTGAAAGTAGTAAAGGTAAGCAACCATAAAAGGCAGAAAGAAAAGAGGGCAAAAAAGAAACAGAAGATATAGAGAGGGCAAATAGAACACTTTTAACAAGTTCCAAACAAACATCATATGAATCATTTTTCATGAAGATTATCCTTTTAAGGGATCACAAATTAAAATTTGTAATGATTCCCCTCCAAATTATCAACTTCAAACAAAAGCTCTCTCTAAAACATCAAGAATATTGAATCACATACCAAAAAGTAACAAGATGAAGAAATTTTACTGGGAAAAAAAAAGTACATGGACACACCTCCCAAAACACAATTGAAAATAAGAACATAAAGAACAAATTAACAAAGTAACCCCCCTCTAATTCAAGTTGCAGAAAGTTAGAAGGATAGAAACCCGGAAGCAAAAACTCACATGGAACCAAAATTGATCATATTAAAAAATTACTGAATAACATATTTCAGAACTACATAGTCTTGGGCATAAAAATACACAAAGCAATACAACTAAAGCTGTGGAACAAAAAAGGAGAGCTATACAATTCATTTAGAAAGATATCTAGCGCACATAGTTCGTTATTAAATGCCAAGAACTAAAAATTAATGACACAAACGAACAAAATTCTGAGACAACTAATGGCTACATGCAAAATAGTCAATTCTCAACACAGGCAGTGCTGCAAAAATACATATGCACCCGTACGTCTCCAACAATTTATATCTCTCTCAATAGATGCCGCTAGTCAGGAAATTTTGTTTTGCACTTCCCAATTTTCTCAAAAGATACTTAGCACCCATGTGTTTCTATTTATAAAAAAAAAAGAAGACATATACCTTTAATAACAGTAGTAAAAATAGTGTATCTTTATTTACCTAATGAGAAGAATAAATATGTTCAATGAATCATCAAAAGGGCATCATGATAACATTCTTATATGATAGAGACAAATTGCAGTTTTCTTTAACAGAAAGACATTCAAAATTGAACTTCCAGACAAATGCCCATAGCAGACCACATTCAAAGAAGGCTCATAGTGACAATAGTGGAACTACCAGGCCATGAGGCCTAAGGGGGCAAGGATACTCATAGACCTAGCAAAAAGTACAGAAAAAAATGAAAAAGCATGTTTGCTCATGTCTTCAGACTGTTTGGTGCATGCTACTGATTCTTGACAACTCCTGTCGTGTCTTCACAAATGTTTCGTGTGGGGCACTTCCCCGGTATAATTCCTTACTTCAACTGCCATATTTTAGGGTTCTCAACTACCGATTTCTGAACATTTAGCCTCATTCCACTTATTAGCATCTTCAGCTGCTACATTTATTATGATAATATATTGAATCAAGTTTTGGCACCATTGCCATCAAAATCATGGCAATAGAGCCATTTCATTCAACAATATACCATTGCAAGTAACTATTAACTGAATCTAATCCTGCAAAGACACCAAGATCACAAAAAAATACCCTAAACACTTAATCAACTAGTCTAATAGCTAGATGAGTACAGGGAGGAGAAACAAAAAGCAAAACCAGAGTGATTTAAAACTGATTCCAGCAAGAACAGGAGGCTATGGCAGTGCAAATTGTGGAAAATATCAATTATAAACTATATTTGACAAGAAGAAAAATTAGACATACCTTTCATTCTTACCAAACCCAAAGCGTGCACCAAAATAAAATGCTACAGCAAGCAACCAAGAATCACTGTGAACTGCAACAAGTGATAACCAGTCCTTGTCCTGCATCCCATCCCTAGCAAAATTGATACCCAATGCGGGCTCAGGAAGCTCAGGAGGCACCTCCTCCACAGGCAGGTTAACTTCCCACGTTTCATTTGGAAGTCCATATAGACACAGGTTTTCCTTTTCTAAAAATGCAAACTTCACACCATCAGCAAAAACAAATTTTGCATCCAAAAATATCTAAAATTCTGAACGAAACGTCTGACTTAGACACACTCAGACTTGCAAGAAAAAATTCATACTATACATTCTAGTATAATTAATGGAGAACGCATCAGCAGAGTAACTCTTGCCAGACCAAAATAGATGATATCCTAGATATTAGCTCACAGTAAGGTATTCATCATTTTGGTTACTTTCCTGATCCAACGAGTAAAACTGGTACTAAGAACTAAAAATATATGATATTATTTAGTGTGTTATCAAGAACTGAAAATATTAGAGAGAGAGAGAGAGAGAGAGAGAGAGAGAGAGAGAGAGAGAGAGAGAGAGAGAGATTGGTTACTTTCCTGATTCACAACGAGTAAAACATGGTTACTAAGAACTAAAAAATATATGATTTATTATTTAGTGTTGTTATCAAGAACTGGAAAATATTTAGAGAGCAGAGAGAGAGAGAGACGAGAGAGAGAGAGAGAGAGAGAGAGAGAGAGAGAGGGACTTCAGCATGTTGACCCTTAGAGAGAGAGAGAGAGAGAGAGAGAGAGAGAGAGACTTCAGCATGTTGACCTTAAACAATCAAAACCAATGTTAATATCCTCAAGCAATTAATGACTGTCCACAAGCAGAAAATTAATAAATAAATAACAGATGATTTGGAGTATCTACAATTTGGTAATAGTAGCAAATCTGCAACCAATCCTTCAAATGGATTCATGTTGAGAGCATAATTAACCTACTGAAGAAACTATATTAACCATCCACATAAAATCATTTGAAAAAATAAATACAGAACCGTGTTCGTTATTACCAAGCTCGAGTCACATCACGTAACAAATTCAAACTTTGCAAGGTACCAATGCTTGAACACATGCACCGCACTTAAAAATTTGAAGTACAAGAAACAAAAAAATCTTTTAGACACTGACGGAACTGATATGCCGGTAAATACTCACTAAATGGAAAACAGGAAAACAACCAAATGTGCTATTAAATGCATATATAAACACAAAAAAGGATATCATTGAAGCACTTTTAACAAATCAATTTAGCAAAAGAGATAAACCTTAGAATAGTTATGAACAAGTCAACAACAAATGCAAACAAACATCAGGGAAACTAACTTCAAGCATAAGCAATTGGGTTCAGAAAACCGAAAAAAAATAAAACTAGAATCTGGGAGTGAGGGGTGATTGTCTTCATAGAGTCCACTCTCAACAAATTAAACTGCTAGAGATTATATTCTCCAATTCAGCAGCCATGTGCACTGCAGTTTAAGGGCAAAGAAAAAAGTGCCATAGTAACGTAAACTCTCTTTCTCAAGTAAGACACGTCATAGGTTTAGCCATTAAAAACAATGATTGTCATTCTAACTATTCTTTGTTCAAATCCAAATCACAGAGATTTTCATTGCTCACAAAATCACCATATGGGGAAAAAGCAATGGCCATATTTAACTAAATACTGCTGCAAAATCAAATTAGGCTTAAAACATAATCTTTCCAGCATGTCTATGTTCGAAAACAACAAAATTATGAACTGTGAAGAATCAGAAATGCGATAACAATATACCCACTCGTAGTATGCAAAGTTAAAACAAATAGCAAGACACCCACGTACATTCCAAAGTCCAAAAATAAAGACATGACAAAAACCCACCAGGATCGCACTGCTGGTAGAACTTCTCAACATCTGTAACAAACAAAAAAAAAAAAAAAAAAAAGTAGAACTTCTCAACCATCTGTAACAAAAACAAAAAAAAAAAAAAAAAAAAAAAAACGGAAGGACTCAAAAAAAAAAAAAAAAAAAAAACGGAAGACTCAAAATCAAAAATAGGAGAAACCCATTAAAGATACATGCGAATAGAGCAAACCCAATTCAGCAAATGCACATATTTATGAATGTTAAAGCTAAAAAATACATAAAGCGAATTAAAAAAAAAAAAAAATCAAACCAGTGGTGAGAGCCCTGATTAAGCCAGCGCGTCTGCCTTTGAAGTCGGTAAAAACTTCCTCAACGGTTCGAGGTACCGGGTGTGGTATTCCCTCCATTCGCTTTCTTTCTTCTCTTCAAAATTAAAATAACTTTCAATTTCTCCCTACTACTTTTTATACACGGAAAAGATTATTCTGTTATACAAATAAGAAGATGGAAGGTAATTCTATATGTGCATATATATGTTTAATGGTAGTGAAAATGCTTGAGAGCTTGGGTATCAATTGAGAGAAAGAATGGTAATTAGTTAGGGTTTTTGGATGTGTTTATCGAATTTATGAATGAACGAGGGAGAGGGAGAGTGAGAGAGAGGGATTAGGGTTTGCTGTTTTCTTTTTTTTCCTAATCTTTTTCAATTGGGGCAAAGAGAAAAAGGAAGAGAGGAAAGAGTCCTATTTTTTATTTTTATTTTTTCGTTATTGTTATTATCTATTTGTTTGAAAAGATGAATTTAATTTATAATTGGCAGAAATTGACAATCCACGTACTAGGCTGAGACTTGTCACAAGATATTGAAAATGTCAAATTACTATTTAGTCCCTCATATTAGTTCTTTTACAAGTTCGTTCTCTTATTTATTAAATATATTAATTAATCCTTAAATTTAGTTTCACTAAACTACAATAGAGATAAAAGCGGAGCGAATACCCGAGCATTTTGAGCTACTCGTATTCGCTTAGAATTTGCTATTCATACTCATCTCAGACCAATTTAAATATATGTTTATGTTTAAATACATGTATTTGAACACATTTAAAGCAATAGGGTATACACAAACTTAAACTATATAAATCTGAATTCATTTAAAACAAATTTTATTAGCAAACGTGTAGGGTACACGCGATACACATGACTAAACATATTTAATATAGTGGTAACGATAACGGTCATGAATATTTTGAAATATATACAAGTATCTATTTCAGGTAACAATTTCACCACTTGTAATTATTCTAAATTTATTTATAACTATTCGTATCCACATTAAATGGATCGGAGTAACGCGGTAACTTAAAATACCCATCCCTTTACATCCCTAATTGTTAGTCATTTATCTAAAATATTATTCTTGCCATTACCGGAGTAAAACAAATAGTAATCTAATAGTAAATTAGGATTTCAGAGTGTGTTTTAATTCCATAATTTAACTTTTTATTATATATGATTTTCTATCAATTTTTGTTTATAACATAATATTTTTTTTATTAATTTTTATTTATAATATAATATTATATATCATCTATATTATTAAAAACTTGATATAGTAATATTTTAAAACAACAGGATAATTTAAGTTGGGTGATAATTAAGGTTTGAATTGAAAAATTGGAAAGACAACTAAATACATTTACAATATTAAATTCAAAAAAAAAAAAAAAAGAAACTAATAACGAAGTTCCTTTAATTGAAATATATGTAATCAATTGACAAAAATAACCATTAAAAGGAAAAGAAACTACAACCGTGAACTAAAATTAAATTCTTAAGCAACTAATAAACTTATACTAATTCAAAATTAATTTATAAACAATTAATTAGCAAATTAAAAGCAAAGCCTTAAGGAGCCAAAAATTAATTGTGAATTAAATTAAATTCTTAAGAAACTATTCTAATTGTTTTAATTTGAAATTAACTCAATTAATTAACATATTAAGAATAAAAAATTATTACCTGAATGATTAAGAAAAAAGATAATAGAGCGAGGATAAACACAAATATAAACATGTAAACATGTGTATGTGATAACGAGGGACAAAACAACTCACTCCCGTAAAAGCTTCTCTCACTTATAGCTTATTTGCAACTCAACTTTTATCTCATTCTTGCTGTTCAACGACCCAGGTATAATCCTTTTAACTCTGTTGCAGATAGCATGATCAACCCGTTCAAAGAAATTGCAACCATTATTCCGTTCAACCTTCAAAACAAAACAAAATAAGTGTTTTCAATCTTAAACCGAAAAAATTCAAAACCCTAAAATTGATTTGAGAAAATAGAAAAAGAAACTCATAGAACGAAACTCGCAAGCAAATGATCGTCTTGCAAAATCGAAATTCCATCTTTTTGCTATGATAGCGAAGATGAGCCGTGAGTTGAGAATTGAGAGAGAGGAAAAAACGTAAATGTATCATGAATTACGTTAGGGATTTTTTGGGGGAGTTGCTGTTTAAGCCGTAATAAGTGAGGTTAAAATCATAAATTAACCCTCTTTGCCACATTGGATTGCTTACAATGATTAATTGTCATGCTATATAAGCAGATATGTAGGCAAAAATGGATCTCAGTTTGTCCTATTAGACAATTTGACTGTTCATTTCACGAACGGACACAAAATAGAAAAAAAAAATGCAAATTGAAACACTAAAAATAACATTATCCCCTAAACTAATCCGTCGTAATTTTAAATTCCATCTCTCTTTTACAATCCAAATCCTAATACGATCGATTAAGCAATAGATGATATACATCGGAATAGCTCTATTTTTACTTTTAAAAGTTTTAAATAAAATTTGTAGAAGCCAAAATCATATAAAACAATATTTTATAGTAAAGACATGATGAATTCAAATTTGATTAATCCATTGAGTGAAAAGAAAAATAAAATTTTTGAAAATTATTAACTAAACTAATTCATACTAGGGAAAAACCAAATAAAACTAACGATTTGTGAATGATTCAAATCTAATTGAATCAAACCCATAACCAACAAATTAGAAAACAACAAACATAAATCCCGGCAATATACGGTTTAATTACCATAAATTAACATTTATAAATTTAATTTTAAAGTGTGCCATAATTATAAAATTTAGTATTACATGATAATCATATTTATTGACTTCATCCATGATAATTTCAATTCATAAATAGCATTATGAATATTATACTAACACTAACATGCATATATAATTATGTAAGAAATCATAATAGTATTTATACATTTGGTCTAATATAGTTAGGTTAAAATATTTATTATCGGATGATTATTTTTTCAATTAAATGAAATTGAAAATCCATGCATGTACATTTATGCTTGTGTTGAATGAGTACAAAATATTATGCAATTTACATACCATAAAGCACATACAAATATTTAACAAAAAAAAAAAAGTTTAGGAATATAGTTAAGAAAAAAAAAAAAAAACTACTTACATTTTTATATAAGAAACACACAAAAAGTATATATACCAGTAACTATAGCAATATATACTTTAAATATTTATTAATGCATAAAATATTATTGGAGAGTATATCTTAATCATAAGTAAATTTTAATAAAATTACGTACATTAAATTATAACATCTTAATAAATTGAATTTAGTTTTTTTTTATAAAATATATTTAATATAATTATATATATAGTATTCATGTCGTGTCTTAGTAATTTAATTAAATTTTTTATAATTTGGTAATTGTAAAATTTATTAAAAATAAAAAAGTTATTAATTGAATAGAATGCTAGTAATGTTATAATTAAAAATTTTTAAATCTACTTATCAACGTGACTAGTAAACTTCTAATGATAATTATAGTTAAATATTAATTTAAAATATGACTCATATGGAATTTGAATTATAGGTATATTTTTAGTAAATTAGAATATGATTCGTATAGAATATTATCAATGAACTTATAAACATTATTATAATTGGATTTTAGTTAACTATCTTTTTATTTTTTTATTAGTATCATCGTATATATTAGTATACTTATAAGTATAGTGTATATAGGTTAAGAATTACCACAACCAAAATTAATTATAACCGTATATTCTCTAATAAAAAAATATTAAACTTAATGCTTTACATAATATTTTGCTATTACAATTACTATAATATTGAAATATAATTATAACCTTTTAAATAATAATAATAAGAATAATAATAATAGTAATAATAGAAAGAACTATTTTACCATCAAAACGACGTATTTTTAGTGCTGGAGGTTTAAATGAATCCACAACACAAGACTACGTCGTTAGCCAAGGTTGCATTTTAATCATACAAACAGAAAGTTCTCTCAAGCTCAACTCGAGTGAAACGTATTTTCTCCTCCCTCCCTTCCCCGTGCTGCTCGTTGTCTGCACTTCTACCGCCACAGTCTTTCTTTATACCTTCCCATTGCTTTCGTTCTTGGCCATCGCCTCCGCAGCATTCGTGCTCTACAAGCGTACAAGTGCCAGGTTCGTTCTTGATTTTTTTTTATTTCATTCTTAGTTTTTTTTTTTTTTTTTTTTTTTATTACCCTTCCCATTGTTTTCGTTCTTGGCCATCGCCTCCGCAGCATTCTGTGCTCTACAAGCGTACAAGTGCCAGGTTCGTTCTGATTTTTTTTATTTTTCATTCTTAGTTTTTTTTTTTTTTTTGCTTCGTCCGTTTTTTTTTTTTTTTTTTTTTTGTAAAACACATTATTAACAGACAAGAGTGGAGGAATTGTTGGAATTAATTTATGGGTTCAGCCGACATTATTTGCATATTGTTTTATTTTCGTATATGGGTTTTTGTGCATGTTTTTATTTGTTGAAAATATATATTATGGTTTTGTGCATGTTTTATTTGTTGAAAATATATATATTGAAAGGCAACAGGATGGTGAATATAAGCCAATTCGTGGTTTGTTAAGTGAAATCTCAAATGTTTGGTTTGTTAATTCAAAGTTTGGTTTGTTAATAATGACTAAGATTGTCTAGAGATACTGAGAATGAGATTATTTGCATATAATTGTCATATACTGAGAATGATTTGTTAATTTTTCTGCTGCTAAAGTTATTCAAAGTTTGGTTTTCAATAATAGAATTTCAAATTTGAAATTTGATATTGTAAATGAGGTTGGTTATAAATATCAAACTTGATAAGCAAAACACGTTGACAGGTTTAATTTGTTCTTGTTTTTATTTTTTTACCATGAGATATTTATATCTAGAAATAAGCTTTTAAAAGCAATAACACAACTTACATAGGGGATTAAACACAGGGTTTAATATTTTGCATAGGGCTGAATTTTCTTTTTAGTATTTTGTGATTTTATATAGGGCTGAATTTTTCTTTTTGTGAATTTTTCTTTTTGAGAAGTATATAAGGCTGACTTGCATAGCTTAGACGTGTAAGTGTTTCAGTCATATTGCTACACTTTGAATTTGCTAGTTTAATTTGCAAACTTGTTTATTATCCCTAAACTTGATTGTAGCTAGTTTCATTTGCTATAGGTAGTTTTAAATTAGCTAAGCCTAACTAACTAGTTGATTTGATATTCTAAATTGCCTTTTCTTTTAGTTTTAAATTACATGGTTGTTGTAGTGTTGTTTTGTTTTGATGTACTTTTTAATTTGGTAATTTTTTTTTATTGACATACTCTTTATTATGTTTTATATGGATTTAGTTCTCATTCTATGATAAATTTGTTATAGTTTAGTATTATTATATTTAATTAGTTTTTACTTTGTGGTTGATATTATTTTTTATTGAATTTTAATAGATGTTTGATTGTCAAATTGTTTAATTGAGAATTGAGATATTGGTTTGAATTTCAATTCTTTTGTTCTATTTTAATATTTGTTCTTTTTAATATTAATGTTTGATTGTCAAATTGTTTAATTGAGAATTGAGATATTGGTTTGAATTTCAATTCTTTTGTTCTATTTTAATATTACTATGTACTGTTGATTGAGAATATTATAGGTTAATTTGTTTTATTATTTTGAATATTATAGGTTAAGTTGTTTTATTACTTTGAAGTTGAATTTTAATGTGTTTTTTATGTATTTTTTTTGTTGCACATCGGGTTCGGCTTTGGGTTTCATGCGGGTTTGGATTTCATGGATTGAATAAATTTGTGATTAAACGGGTATTTAAACGGATTCGGGTAGTATGCGGGTATTTCTAAACGGATTTGGGTATTATTGGTTTATTCCTTAATGGATTCGGGTACTTAAATTAATAATGGATTTGGATTTGGGTAGTTTATTTCTTGTGGGTACCCGCCCCGCTGCCAACACCATCCACGACCTCTCTCTCTCTCCATCAATCACCTCTGCTGTCGGAAAAGAAGGTTGCACTGGTGGCAACAAGAGCTCCGGCCACTCCCTTCTCTCTCTCTCTCTCTCTCTCTCTCTCTCTCTCTACACTCGCGAATGTTGGGTTTCTGCTTTGTGCGGCTAAGATTGCAATTTTGCACAATTCGAATTTTGTTCTCCGGCGAGCTTGAGTAATTCCGACAACCATATTTGATCAACTAAGTAGATTAAAATTCCAAAGTTCTTATTATATCTTCTCATGCACTATTGAGTCTGACCCTGGTATGTTGTTTAGCTCTTTCATGTCTTGAATCTATTTCTGGATATTATTGTTGTTTCTTGTTCATTATTTTTGACTAAAGATGGAGTCTATTTGAGCAAGAAATGTATACTACTGAATATTAAAGTCTCTTAACCTTATTGTGGGGCTTTGAGCTCTTTTTGCTTTAATCTTCTCTAGGTTCATGAAATGTGTTGTTAATTGGTTTTAAGGTCTATACTAAAACCCTCTCTAAAATTTAGGGTTTCTTTGGTTGCTTTGACCTATGGTATTCGTGTGAAACTGAGAGAGCTATCCTGTAATATATATTATAGGAAAGCTATTTGGATAATATTACTTATGGTGAAATCCAACGTTAACTGTATTCAATAAAAGAGTTATCCAGTAAAATAAATTGTGTCTGCCCTGGTTTTACTTTTTACTCATTTATTGTATTGCAGGAATCATATTAGCATCATCCGATTCCTTTTGTTTCTAGAATCTTTTTGTTCAATTGACTCTTTTGATCTTTATAATTAGGTTCTGCAAAATAGAATGATGAACATCCAATCTATTTATGTTGATAACCTGCTGTTAGATGCTGAAGAAACATTCTTCTAGAAGTAAAAGAATTGCCACTATTTTCAAGTTTTATTATGGTAATACATGCAAATTACTATCGAAAATATTTTCTTGATTAAAGGAAAAATAAAACCGTTAAGTAAATAATGCATAAGTACTTTCCCCTTTGTGAAAGCAATATGTTATGTTCCAAATTATTGCAACACATAGAAAGGGAAGGTACCCTCATAGTTAACAATGTCAATTCATTTGATCATGTGATATACTGCTTTTCTGTCTTTTTATTTCTTATGTATGGGAGGAAAGTGAAAAAAGAATTAAAAAAAAAAAAAAGCGTATGGGTAAACCTTTCTCATAGTATTATGTATTATTGGAAAAATTTTTGAAGTGTAAGCAAATAGTTTTTAGCCAAACTACAAAAATTATTCGTTTCTCTGAACTGTTTTTCTATAGAAAATATTTCACATGAAAGAAACAGATTTAGAATTTTCTTATGTTTTTGTTGAAAATGTTAAGGAAAATCAATATAGTACAAGTATTCCTAATTAGTTCCTAAGTATATTCCTATTATGATTTGTATTCCTAAATAGACTAGATGGCCCAGGAATTCCTTGTATATAAACCTATGTAATTCATTGATGAGATACAAACATATTTTTTCTCATGACAGAAACAAAAGTGACATTAACTGAAAATATACAACTCCATCATTATGTCTGCTTGCTACAAAAGAAGTACTGTTTAATAGAATGAGACATGTTCTGTGGGCTACAAGTGCTTATTTAGGCACTGCTTAATTCCTTCTCTGTGCTCGATCTCCCAAAGAGTTCATTTGACAAGTTCTTATCCACAAGAGCTTTGTTGAACTCATTTCATTGATAAGATTGGGAGTTATAACTCATGATTGGGAAGAGAAACGAGAGTTGATTTTCATAAAGGGATTAGCTAAGATTCTTGGTTTACATTTAGGTGTCTTTACAGAACTTATACAACAAATGCAAGTCAAAGGTGTGTAGGTAACCTTTTGAATTTTTATGTCCGTGCTTGTTTTGGAATACATAAAAGTTTCAGAACTGCCGGTTTTGGTTTCAAAACCACTGGTTTCGGTTATAAAAAATGTGGAATTGGAACCGAACTTCTTTTAGGTGGTTTCTAAGAGAATTTTGGAACCGTCAGTTTTGGTTTTATTCCGATTTTGAATCGTAATTAAATAATGTATTTTAAAACTTTTAAAACTTTTTAAATAATAATAATTGTAAATATTCCTGTTGAAAAACACCATACCAATTTAATAAAAATTCTTAAAAGTTAGTTTAAAAAACTATAATAAAACAAAAAAAAACAAAAAAACAAGTTGGGAGATTCTTTAAGCATATGTTTCTCACAGTTTCAAACCGGAATCACCAGTTGTAAGCCAAAACTGCCGATTTTGATTTCAAAAATGAAGAATCGGAACCGAACCTTAAGTTTGCGGTTTCGGTTTCGTTTTGGAACTAGAATGCTGACTATGGTTTAGTATCGGTTTTAACTGGTTCGGTTTTGATTTTAAACCGAACCATGTTCATCCATATTATAAGATTTTTATTTCCTTTTCCCAATAATTAATAACCATACAATGAATTTCTTTTTTCAATAATCAATAACCACACATACGGAACCAAGAACCCATTGAATCAAACTGGAATCATTTAAATCAGGTTAGGGACGCCAGAATGGGGCCTAACCTTTCTTTCCTTCTCCTTCCTCGCGAAGCTGCAACTGCCTCCGATTGTTTCCAGTCGATCGGGGACTCAACAGCCATAACCCGACAAACCTAGCTAAAGACCACACCTCCACCACCTCCTCTCTTCATTTGAAGCTGCAATTTCCATTTCTGTGGCCTGTAAATTCTCGAACCGATAGAAAAAAAAGAGGGAGAGCACCATCTCTAGCCATAAACCTCCATGTCCAGCGAACCATGCTTCAGGTAAGCAAAAATCAATTATTCTTCCATTCTAGACCATTGTCCCTCAATTTATCTTGAATCTTATTGTTTGAAATGAGAAATACCACAACTAGGTTCTAAAAGTTACTGTTCAAAGTTAAATTCGACCAAATTGCTAATCAATTGTGATATTAAAAATCCAAATTAACAGTCCTTACAATATTTTAGTTATTTTGATGTATACTTCATAAGAGTTAATGAAGTTTGGGCTTAAAACTACGGATGACAGCAGTAGAAATAGTGATCTGCATTGAAGTGAAGCTATTACATATATATGATCGTTATTCTGCATTGGTTTTTGCTGTATGATTAGATTTCCGATTGGTAATTGATTTAACTTATAACTTCTGCATGTTTCGACTTCTAGAAGTAGTTGTCCGGTGCCAAATTTGAATATGAATTGGTAAATTTCTAGTTTATTAAGTAAAGGTTGCCGTGGTCTCCACCAGAAAGCATCCCCAACTCCATTTCATTGAACCTCAACCTTGTCTTCACAAGCACTGCCACTCAAAAAGTCTTACCTCTTTATCTTCATATAATAGACTCCAAAAAGAACAACAAAAGGGGAAAAATGCCAAATTTGATCCATGATGACTAACCAAGGTGTAATTATCTCATCAATTCCCTGCTTAAAACTACGGATGACAGCAGTAGAAATAGTGATCTGCATTGAAGTGAAGCTATTACATATATATGATCGTTATTCTGCATTGGTTTTTGCTGTATGATTAGATTTCCGATTGGTAATTGATTTAACTTATAACTTCTGCATGTTTCGACTTCTAGAAGTAGTTGTCCGGTGCCAAATTTGAATATGAATTGGTAAATTTCTAGTTTATTAAGTAAAGGTTGCCGTGGTCTCCACCAGAAAGCATCCCCAACTCCATTTCATTGAACCTCAACCTTGTCTTCACAAGCACTGCCACTCAAAAAGTCTTACCTCTTTATCTTCATATAATAGACTCCAAAAAGAACAACAAAAGGGGAAAAATGCCAAATTTGATCCATGATGACTAACCAAGGTGTAATTATCTCATCAATTCCCTGTAGTAAATATGATGACTATATCTCCAATTTTCATACTCCGCCATTGCCCACTTCTAGTAATGGTGAATTTCTAATGATTATTCCATCATTGTGAAAATTTCTAATTTATAATCCATTTGTTAAGCATTTTGTTTTTCTTTTCGATTTGTCACTAACTGTTTGATAAAATGCCTCAACCATTTAAAAGTCACTGTCGCAGGATCAAGTTACCTGGACCCTGCCTAAAAATAAACAATCACGAGTTAGATATTTTTCCATTTTCTGAAACCTATAATTTTCTTTCTTTTTTCTTTTCTCACTTTATTGATCAGTTTCATTGCAGTTGGGCATCTAGCAGTTTAAAGAATTGATGTTTTAGGTGGTGTTGTGATTGAAAAAATTGTTATTGGGTGGTTCTGGTACTTCTGCTGCATGTCTCTCTTGTGCGTTCGATCACTTTTTGCGCGAAAGAGGCATTTTGCTTCAGGAATATTATATATAAGCAACCCTGGATGTTCACTATCGAACGAAGTGAACTATTCTATCTCTATATTGGGTAGAGAGTGTAATCCCATAAATTCATTGCCATTGCCTGCTCAGTTCGAGGTTCCTATAAGTAAGAATTCTAGTACATTTTATAAACTCTTTTGCATAAATCTAATAATTTTTATTTTATGATCGGTATATTTCAAGGAACAGTAGCCAATTTGAACTCATCAAACGTTTTTTTTTCTTGAACAGGTTCATCGTTTAATAATGCTAGTTTTATAAATGACAATAGAGTTTTCCCACCAAGCTGGAGCTTTTATCAGTTATTTAGACGATGTTCGTTTCAGTTTCCTCATGCATTTTGCTCATTAGCTCAAAATGAGATGTTAGTGTCGGATTCTGGTGTTGCTACTACTGTTGAGAAAGAAAAGGTTGTGCATGAAAAACTTCTTGACTTTACAAAAATTGACATCGATTTGCTTCCAACTGTCATTCTTGTTGGGCGTCCAAATGTGGGAAAATCAGCTCTCTTCAACAGGTTAGTTTCATTGATTGTGTTAAATTAAACTGCATGCATCATGTGTTGATTAAGTGATTGCATGCCGTGCCTCAATAAAAAAGTTAGGTTATCTATTTGAGGCTACTTGTAGATTGATTCGAAGGAGAGAAGCTCTTGTATTCAACACGCCAGATGATCATGTTACTCGAGACATTAGAGAAGGCATTGCAAAATTGGGTGATCTGAGGTTTCGGGTCTTGGACTCAGCTGGCTTAGAAACAGAAGCAACTTCAGGGTCTATTCTTCAGAGAACAGCAAGCATGACTGCAAACATACTTGCAAGGACTCAATTTGCTGTATTCCTGATGGATGTGAGGTCAGTTTGGGAAATTTTGTGAGTGATATTTTGACAAAGTACAACTGTCTAATTAGTGTGTATGATATATGCAAAGTGAGGAACATGTTTGACAATTATGATTTGTCAATTTACTTCTCAATGACTGCATGGATCATTGTGTATGATTAGCAAGTTTCTATAACCACATTCCACATGTTTTGTGTTGCTTTTGGATTTTAAAGAAAATGGAGCATGTCAAAGGCATTGCTTCTAAAAAAAATGTATCAACCACTTCAACTTAACAAACTACCTAATGATGCAAATTCTTACAATTTCTTGTTGTTATGTCTCGACCAGAGTTGGATTGCACCCATTGGATGTGGAAGTTGGAAGGTGGTTGCGCAAACATGCACCGGGAATTAATCCTATAGTAGCAATGAATAAATCTGAATCACTTTGTGATGGCATTGGCTCTATTGCTGATGCTGCGGAGGAAGCACGTCTGCTAGGATTTGGGGATCCTATAGCCATATCTGCTGAGACAGGGCTAGGTATGACAGCCCTTCATGATGCTCTACGGCCTTTGCTTGAGGATTATATACTCAAAGTGCTGAAAAGTAAGATTTCCTTTCCTTTATTACATTTTTTTTTTCCAGATTGAGGTTTAGTTATCTATATTGTGGTGAGTAGGTCATGTTACTTTGTAAAAATATGCATGAATAGCATTCTATCTATGAAATTTTGGAATTCCTTACGTGCATTCAGAAAGTGCATATAAGTTATATGAAGTAATTAACTGTGTAGATGTACCTTGGCTCAGCAATGAATTTGTTTTGAGAAGAATTTACTAGTGAGGCAAGTATGGAAAAGGGAAGGTGTTCTTCTTTTTGATATTGAGATCTGTGATATGAAGTAGCAACAATATATTTACATTTCAATTATAATTGTTCATGCAAATTCTTGACAGCTACTACATCCTTAAAACATAAATTGATACTACCATGACAACTTTAAGGTGCTGTAATGCCTCCAGGCAATGCTTTTTGATCAGGCATGCTGCTTATGTAGTAGGGCGTTCTTTTTTTTATTCTTTCCCCTTCTCCTTGTTTAAAAAGGGCTGTCCGATGCACAAAGCTCCCACTATGTGCAAGGTTCAAGGAAATCGGACCACATTCGGTCTATTGTATGTAGCCTTGCCCTGTATTTTCACAAAAGGTTGTTTCCATTACACGAACCTGTGATCTCCAAGTTACATGGCGACAACTCTACTGTTGTGCCAAGTCTCCCCTTTTGAATTATGTTAAATAACCATTTGGGAAGAAAAATATCCTTTTTTAATTATGTTAAATAACCATCAAAGAAGAAAAATAAGGAATAAAAGAAGTTAGAGGGCCACTGGATCAGGTTTTCTATGCTATGTGGTTCCATGGACTTGGTCAAATGGAATGTATTTGCCCTAACGATGTTGTAGATAGTAAAGTGATAACATCTCTTTATTGCATACGAGAATGAGTTGACATTCTCTTAGGAGTCATTTGTTTGGGCTGAATGGTGAATTTGAATCAACAACTTATTGAACTGAAAAGAGTGATATTAAGAGTTTGTTGCTGAAAGATTAAGATTGTTTGGTAAATAAGATATTTGAATAATTTGAATGTGCGCATTTTTTTACGTGTTTGACCTTTTAGAATTTTACATATTATGTATTTTTTACATAATAATAAAATTGACATTATACTATATAAGATACAGCCAAATATACAAATTTAACTTATTATTCAACTATTAGCATAATATGATTGTAAATGATATAAATGTATATTTTTCATATACAAAATACAATATAAATTTAATTTAATGATGAATGTCATAAACTAATTATGTAAAAGTTAAAAATAGCTCATAATAACTTAAGAAAATTACTACAAAATATAAATTTAAAGTAGATCATCTATAAGTCACTATATCCTAAAATATAAAGTTAAATTATATCCAATATAAAGTCCGTTTACATGGTAGGATATAATTTGTGATTTTAAATATTAGGTGGAGATATTTTTGCCTCCCAGTCAAAAAAGCTTTTTTAAAACTTACCGAATGAGTTAAGAAAACTTAACTTTTTTTAATAAGCTAATTTTTTTGCCTTCATATTGAGATAAGCTGCTTATCTGAAAAGACAAAACAAAAACTTATTTTCTTTTTATCCGAATCAACAAGATAGATGTCTAATAAGCTATGATAAGCTCAAACAACCACACCTGTATTTTAATGTTCTCCACGTCTCTCTTCATTGTGTTCTTCCGCTCATCAAGTATTTCCACATTAACCTAACCTTACCAGTTTATACCAATGGATTTATCGGTACATCGAAGAATTTTCATGAAAATATTGGTCTTCCAATGCTCCAGAGCACCACCAATATGTCAGCTTTTTTTTTTTTTTTTTTTTTTTTTTTTTTTTTTTAGTAAAATTAACATCTGAATTGCATTTTAGGGTATAAATATAAAAAAAAGTAAAACTAAGACGTAATCGCAATAAATATCAAAAGATCAGGTAAAAAACAAAAAAAAAAAAAAAAACCTTTTCCAACTTGTTATCCAAAGCCAAAGTGCTACTATAAAAAAGTTCAAAAAGTTTGACCAACATAAGCCGAATGTAATACGGATTTACCTCAATCAAGATCCGACCCAAGTCAAAACTCCCTCTGCTTCCCTTCACTGAACCCAGCTTTTCTAAAACCCTAATCATCGGTATTCAGAGGGAAACCTCTTTCCCCCCCCCCTCTCTCTCTCTCTCTCAAAAGTCAAAAATCATGTACGGAGGTGGTAAGTACAGAGCTTCTGTCTCAGTCTCGCGCAGCAATTCTCGAACAGCAATTTTGCTATCACACACGAATAATTTGTGTAATTTTCTGTTTCGAACGCAGATGAAGTATCGGCTATAGTGATTGACTTGGGCTCCCACACTTGCAAAGCTGGTTACGCTGGGGAGGATGCACCCAAGGCCGTCTTTCCTTCTGTTAGTCTCTCTCCCGGCTACAGTCACTGGCATTCTCAATTTCTTTTGTCATTGTTGTTGTTGCATAATGTTGCTTTTGATTTTCTGGGAAAAGGAAGCTAATTAGGATTTTCTACTTGAAAATTTGCTCGCTATGATAATTTAAGTGAAAAATACTCTCTCTACCCGCCTTTTTAGTTTTCATGGTATGAACTGTGAAGTTATCCAAAACGGACCTGAATTCAAATACGAGTGTGTTTGTTATACCTAGGGAATTGAATTGTAAGCTAAAATCATAAAGAAGGATGCTTTCTTTTGGAATTCCTATACGATGTGATATTACAGAGGGTTGATTTTGATTGGATAATGCGAGTGAGTTAGGCCAGAGTTGGTGCAATGAAAAAGTTAAGAACTTCAAAGAATGTGGAGATTGGCATTTTGAATATATTAAATATATCGTGCCTCCAAATTTAATGGGAGTTTCTGTTATGTGGGAGGTAGTGCCTGGTTATACATTTTTCAGTTAATGAGCTTGAAAATTGGACATAGTAGAATTATATGTTAATGTGCAGTATTACTCTTCTGTTATAATCTAGTAAACGTAATTGACATCACTATATAAGCTTTTGCTTTATGATAGCGAGGACATCAATAAAACTTTGATTTTGCCACACTGTACATGCTTATGATTTCCCAGGTTGTTGGATCAATTGATCAAATGGAAGTTGATGACACTGCTAATAATGACAAGACCTCTTCCATAGATTCTAAGAACAATATCAAAGATTCTGAAAAAGGCAAGGCCAAGCGCAAATTATATGTAGGATCTCAAGCTGTAGGATTTCGTCGGGACCATATGGAGGTTAGTTTTCTACATATTATTGGGAAGACCGGTTGGGATATCTTAATTCCATATAAAGTTCAGCATTTTACTTCATTCTTATACTTTTTCACCAGGTATTATCGCCCATAAAGGATGGGATTGTTGTTGACTGGGATATAGTGGATAGCATATGGGACCATGCTTTTAGGTAACAGCTAATTGTCAAGATAGCAGTTATTTTCCTTGATTATTTTGTAATGATATGGTCTAAAATGTTACTATCTTTAGGGAATGTCTGTTGGTTGATCCTAAGGAGCATCCAATGCTGCTTGCAGAACCTTCATCTAACCCTCAACACCAGAGAGAAAGGTGATCTGTCAACATACATGTTTGACAGTGGACATACTAAATTTTTTCTTTTTCCAATTGCAATTGCAGAGCTTATACTTTAGTGACTCATGGTAGTTATTTTATATATTATGTGTGTGTGTGTATGAAGATTAACTTAGCAAGTTTCTTTGATCTATTGCTTATGTCATCTTGTTGTTGATTACTACGTTGTACTGTTGGGTAAAGGAGGGCATTAATATGTTTATTATATTATTTTGTTTGAGGAGTGGCATTTCACCCCTTTCTTCTATCTTTTTTTTTTTTTGGCTGAAAATAAAAGGCCTGGTTGCTTTTATGGAGACAAATTATGATGTATTATTCTTGAATTGGCTCTCACTCTTTATTTGGCTCAACATTTTTTTTTGGCTTAAAGCTATCATTTTTAATTTTGTGACCTCATAGTATTATCGTTAAACCTTTTCAAATTTGCATTGTTAATAATTTTCTAAAATATTATTAACTTTTGTGGCTTATCATCTCAAAATAGTATGCAAAGTGGACTCCACCTAGGCCGACACTTAAAAAAGAATTCTTTTTGTTTATTTTTTTTATTATTTGGAATTCAATTAATAAATTAACTTTAATTTCTCAAAATAGAGAAAATTTTATTTGTGCTCCATTATGTAATACTGCTTTAATACTTGTGGATGATGTATTGACTTATTGCATTTCTGACAGGACTGCAGAGCTTATGTTTGAAAAATACAGTGTTCCAGCATTATTTTTGGCTAAGAACGCTGTATGCACTTAATCCATCCCATGGTCATATCTCCTTTTTGTTGCATTTTGTGTTTTAAGCACGACAAAAATCTTGTTTACTTTTGTTCCCTCTCATTAAGATAGTATGTCTGGCATGATTGAAGTATTTCTTAATGTCAGGTTCTCACATCCTTTGCATCAGGACGTCCTACCTCACTAGTTGTTGATAGGTAACATTTTTATTGTAGTTTTTTTACTCTTGCTTAGTTTGTCACCATGTTATTGGTTTAAGTTCTATTTGGCCACTTTGTAATTCACTTTAGCATTGTCTTTCTTGCCAAATTTGACACATCTTGCAAATTGCAGAAACTATAACTATAATCAGAATCGTTTCTTGCCCATCCTCTAAAAAAAAAAAAAAAAAAAAAAAGAATTGGTTTAAATTCTAAACCGTTGGAAAATTTTGAAATTGAATCTTGATAATATAATATCAACACAAAATTTGCTATCAGATATCTATCGGCCAATGTAAACCACCATCTTTCCAGCAATAGGCTGTTTCAAATAAAAAGGAAACTGGGTTATATTCCCTCTAATTCACAATTTTGCTTACTATCCTTTAAGCTTACTTGCATTATTTTCAGTCCAACTTTTATCTAAATTTCAAATTAATCCTCCATTTGCATGTTGATTGATTTTGTGGATTATATTTTTTTATACTATTGCAATACAGATGCAACAACTGATGGGGAAGAAAAAATAGTGTGAATGGCACCCATATTGACATGGAAGTTTGAATGCAAAAATCTACTTCCTATATACCATCTACGGTCTTTTAAATGGGTCTTTAATGGTGAATAATAGGGAGGGTTGGTCATTTGCTCTTTTCCACTTTCCAACAAATTCTAATTGTGCTTTCAGTATTATGAATGTGTTTGAAGTTCTTCCTCTCTAATTAGCATTTGAACTTTAATTTTATGTATTGCCTGGAAATTTGGATATAATGTTGAATCTGGCAGATAAATTAGCAGTCGTTATATGAAGAATGTTACAAACTTGGCTTTAGATACAATAATATGCTATGAATTACAGAATTCTGGTTTGAATTGTAATTTGTTCTGTCTAGGAAGCAACGGGAACCTCTAGTAGTCCAATGTTCCCAACATTTCGGTGACTGAAACCTCTCGGAAACATAAAATTTTTTCCCATTAACCATTTATATCCCCTTTTCATATCTTGTAATGTCGCGTGTTTCATTTCCGTTTCCATGCTACTTAGTGTTCTGTTGTTACCTTTGCTTATTTGTTTAAATTGATAATTTATCCAGTATAACTTTTACTCAGGTTGATACTGCAGGTTGGTTGCATAGGTCAGGGCAGGAGAAAGGACCATCATCATTGAGCATAATGCAATCAAGGAAAAATTTGTTGAGGGCTCATGTGGTTGCTTTAGTACTTGATGCAGAAGAGGTGCGTTTGCATAATTTGTTATCCTTTATGAGTTTTTTTGGCTAGGGGAGGAAGAATGGAGAGAATTTATCTCATGATGAACTGTGTTTCTGGAGAATAAAACATGAATATTGTGAATCTGACTATTAATTTTACTTAGAAATTTCTTGGTGCTTCTCTTTTTTGCTTATTATCTAGTATAGTTTGCTTTCTTTGGCACCCTCTTGTCTGTATCTTCAAGCGCCAGAGGAAAAAAAAAAAAGAGGATAAAATTGAAGGGCATTGGAGCCTCCTTTTTTGTCATGAAGTTTGGTGAAGATTCTTTTTCAAATATCAGGCTAACTACCAAGTGATCACAATAGCTGAAACAACTAAAAATGATGAAGATGCTGTCTCTAATAACATAATTTGGAGAAGATATACTCTTTAACTAATGCTCCTGCTGTTGCATTATCATACATGTGGTGATCAGATTGCAAAAGCTAGACGTAGCATGACACACTCTGAAGTAGTCATAGCAAGACGGGCTGTGGAAGAAGGGCGTGGATTGGTTGTTATTGTGAACAAGATGGATCTTCTTAAAGGTAAGCAAAATTCAAAGTTATTTGAGAAGGTCATGGAAGCTGTTCCTTCAGAAATTCAGACAGTTATACCACAGGTTTGTCTACTGAAATTTTATCGCTGTCGTTATTTGAGGTCTACATATACACATTTTCTTATTGCATAGCCCAATTTTCTTTTGTGTCTAGAAAAGATCCTTTCTTTGATTTTCTCTGTTTGCATTTGTTTTTCCCACGCTTGATGGATCTTGCCATAGTTAGCTTTTGTTTACTTGTATCAGAAAAAACTTATGGTAGATATTTCAATTGTTTGTGGGAAGTGAAGAAAGTACGGATGGTATTTTGCTTTTTATTAACCACAGGATATAGATTATTTTAGTTCTCACTTCAGTGAGTTAGCAGTGAGTGCTAAACAAGTGTCCTCAAAAGATCAGCGCACTAATTATTTGATTGGGTAACTGGATCTGATTTTCTGGACTAATTAGTCTCTTTTCCCACCTTTTTAAAGAAAATTGGTGCGAAGTGGTAGTGCAATTTAGTAATCATGAAAATGATTAATTTCTAGATTTTTTAGCTCCATTTCTTCAAAGATGTGTTAGGCCTGTTTAGCATTGTTTTTGAAACTGGTTTTTGCAAAGCAGTAATCATTCTCTTAGTTGTTTTTGCAACAGTTAGAAACTTTTCTGAGACACTGGAATTTTTATGGCCAAAAACATTCTAAATGCACCTTAAAGGAATTAAAATTGCTTCTAATCTAAACATTCAAGGGGCTTTTGAAAATGGGATTTGTATGGGATTTGTGGCATCAATGCAAAACAAAGCCTTCCCGAGTGCGACTTGTGCCGTTTAAAGATTTGAGTTTGAGTTTCAGATTGATGATAACTTCATTTCCTTTTATGACTTTTGAAGATGTGAATTACAAGTGGACTTGCTTATGACGTCAGAAGTATCTGATAGAGTCGATCAAAGATTATTTTATTTGTTTAGAAGTCAATAAATATGTGCTTTCATGTGACCTTATTGAGAACAATGCATGGTTTAGTGTAAGAGCATTGCTAGGAATAGAATATTACAATAAATAAGCCTTAATCCCAAAACAGTAGGCGGCATCGATTATATGAATCCTTTGTTTCCACTCTGCTCTATTCATAATTAAGTTTGCACTAATGCCAAGAAATAGGTCTTTTGAAACAATTTCTCTTTATACGGTCTTAGGTCTACCCAGTGGTGGATTCACAGTGAAAAAAGAGGGGTCAACCCCTCTTTTTTTTAGAATTTTTTATATATGTATGTATATTTATCTAAATTAATCCATAAAATTCAGTTTATTTATGTTTTTGACCCCTCTTTTTTCAAAAAATTATATATTGACCCCCCCAAAAAAAAAAAAAAATTCTAGATCCGCTACTGGGTCTACCTCTTCTCCTCTTAGCACTCTGCCATCAGTATATCACATTTACAAACTAAGGCACATGGGATCTACTTAGGACATGAGTATCTTGCCCTTCTGTCATTTTATCCCTAGCATGTGCTATTTGCACATTTTGCTGGGTGTGAGCATTTATAATTTTGTCCAATCATATGTTACCATAAATCTATCTTAACATTGTATTCGGCAACATTCATCTTGTGAATATGTTGGACCATTGAGGCCAACATTCACTCGCATATAATATTGCTGGTTTCACCAAAGTTCTATAGAACTTGCCTTTTGCTTTATAAGGCATCTTCCTAGGAATAGATGCTAAAAGATGAAAACTTCTACAATTTGGGGTGGCTTTTTGGATATAACAGTTGATTAAGCTTTGCATGCAGGTTTCAGGAATACCAGTTGTATTTATTTCTGCATTAGAGGGGAGGGGCAGGATAAATGTTATGCATCAGGTCATTGATACATATGAAAAATGGTGCTCAAGGTTACCCACATCTCGGCTGAACCGATGGTTGCGTAAGGTTGGTGGCATAGATAGTTCCCTTTTTGCTTAAACACCAGGATAAATAATTTGTTAATAGAATTCTTTGCCTGATTCCCTAGGTTATGAGCAGACATTCTTGGAAAGATCAAGCTGCGCAACCCAAGATCAAGTACTTCACCCAGGTCAAGGCTCGTCCACCGACTTTTGTTGCTTTCACAAGTGGAAAGACACAACTTTCAGATACAGACCTCAGGTTTTTAACGAAATCTCTGAAGGAAGACTTTGACTTGGGTGGCATTCCCATCCGGATCATGCAACGGTCCGTTGCGAGAAAAATTGCCAGTAGCGGGAGCAAGAGCAGTCAGTCACCAGGCAGGACAACTGAAAGAATCTTGTCCGACAAGAGAACTGTTGATGCATGAAACTATAACCTTAGCTTCTATTTTAGTTTCACTTTTTTCTTTTCTTTTCGTGTTTCCGTTGTGGGAAAAGCTCAGTCAAATGTTGAGATTATGTTGCTTTGCCAGTCAGGAATATGGTATTTATATCTTATAGCTTAGCAATCTTATAATTAACAAGATGTAAATTAAGGAACGTATTCAATTTTGGCCTGTATTTAGAGCAGTACGAGTTCGTAGGTGATGTATGTTGAGCATTCATAGTAAAATTTGTCGGATTCATGGAACATAAAGCTGGATGTTTTCTCAGAAATGTCGATCCGAGTGGAGTATCTGCTCTGTGTTCTTATGGAGAAATTTAATTTTTCTTTTCATTTAATTTGATTCTGAAGGTCTCTCAGAAATTAATTGGATTTTAAAGTTCAAAGAATGGTAGAACTAAGATCTCGTAAGCTCTTGGTGAAAATAACCAATATCTCCTTTTTGACAATGGATAGCGAGGGCTTTATGCGCATCTATGGGAACCAAATAACCGGAAAGTCTCTCTTCTCCTCCTTTCTCTTCTTTTCCTTCTTTTATTTTTATTTTTTAATTGTTTTCTTTGGGTTTTTTTGGTCATTTTGTAATCCATAGGGCTACATTAGATATTAGGAGGTAGCATTCGGTTAACCAAGCCGAATCAAATCAAATAAGCTCGATTTCAATCTAACCGAATGTATTTGATAGTAACCAAATCCAAAACTGAACGGTATAAAAATAAAATTGAATTGAATTGGATCGACTTGGTTTAGATTTGGTTATTCCAAATCAAATAAGCAATTTATACGTAAAAATAAATTCAGTAAATTATATATGATAATCAAATCAGAAATTGAGAAGAAAAAAAAAAAAAAGATTTTTCTCACCAATCTAATCGGTGACTGAATTTTTGAAACAAACGGATTTTCCTTCGTTTCTTTCCCATATTTGCAAGTCTCAAATCATCATCATCAATCACACACACACATTTAAAAACATATATTGCGCATATTGCTTTTACTTGTAGGTACTCATTATTTAATTATAATTTTTATTATTTATCAAGAATGATATTTACCATTATTTTAATTTCTAATAAAAAATAATGGACCAATAATTAATAAATATGAATAAAATTACAAAAACAATATTATTACAATTTGATTTCCTTTCACATCGATGTTCTTTTCTAAACAAATTTGAATATTTTATTCATAAAAACAAAATTCGAAAAAAACCCATACAATTTACAACATTTAATTACATTCATAGAATAAGAAAAAATTCAGTTAACAATAAAAATAATAATAATGATTTTCTTATAAAGATAATGATTTTTTTAAAAAATATATAATAATTAAAATAAAAATAAAGTTAAATCAACTTATAGGAGTGACACAAGTTAAAAATTAAATACATGAAACCATGACTAAAGTTAAAATTAGAATAGTTTAAGCATAAAGATAAAGTAAAATTTATAAATTCTGAAAGTTCAATTATAATTGATAACGAATAACTTTGATAACACATAAAATAATAAATCAAATTAAAAATAATAAAAATTAAATTTGATACATCAAAGATCGACAATAATACGTTAAGTATTTGATATACCCTTGATATAAAACTTGTATAGACAAAGTATATATATATAATTTCTAATTAAGATAGAACAAAAATTTTACGATAAGATTATAATTCCTAACTAAGATATGATAAAATTTCTATAGCAAAATATAAATTAAAAATTTTTTAATAAGTATTAAATTTCTCAATTAGGGATTGTATTAATTTTTCTACTTTATTAAATTTAAATAAATAAATCCAAATTTAAAAATAATAAAAATTATTAAATTTGATTACATCCAAAGATCGACCAATAATACGTTAAAGTATTTGATTATATACCCTTGATATAAAACTATGTATAGACAAAGTATATATATATAATTTCTAATTCAAGATAGAAAACAAAAAAAAAAATTTTACGATTTAAGAATTAATAATTCCTAACTAAGATATGATTTAAAATTTCTTATAGGACAAATATAAATTAAAAATTTTTTAATAAGTATTTAATTTTCTCAATTAGGGATTGTAATTAATTTATCTACTTATTAAATTTATAATTTATTTTTAGTATCATTATTAAATATTTCTTATTTTTTAATTATTTTTATTAAATATTTCTTATTTTTTAATTATTTTATATTCTATTCTTAGCAAAGAGAATTTAGATTTAAATAAGAAAATAATATTGTAACCAATCAAACTAAATTAACTTTATTTTTTCAATCAATAAAATTAAAGTCTTTTAAAAAATATTCCTTATTTGATAACTTTGTTGAAAATTGTTTAAAAGATTGAAGAATATCCATTTCAAATTCAAAATATTAGATTAATGATATAAAAATTTAATATTGACAAATATATATATATATAAAATTCTTAATAATAATTTCATATAAATTGCATTTTCTTATACTTTAACAATTAGTAGAGGAAAAAAAATATATCAAGATCATAAAGATTGTGTAAGAAGTATTGGAATTAAAATAAAAAAATTAAAAAGTTGATCTTACCAAACCTCAAAAGGCTTTCTCTATTTATAGGCCAGTAACATACTATTAACTTGTAATTTATTATGCTACTATTAAAACTAATAAAGACAATTATATAATTGCAATTTTAAGACAAATAAATGTTTGAATTTCATTGATAATAAAACTATTAGCAAATATTATCACCATTAACTTTCTCTATCAACTTTTTAAAATATAAAATTTTCATTTATAATAATAAACAATAATTATGATAAACAATATAAATATTATAATATAATATCAACTTAAAAAGATAATTTATTATACATATTAATTTGATAGTCAACATCATGATAGTTTTTTAATTAAAAAATAGGTTATAATATTTTAATATTATAATTTATTTATCAATACATATTAATATGATAATGAATGGCGATTAATATTAATTATTATAATTAATTTTTAATTGAGAAAGATAGGATATAATATTATAATAATTTTAATTATTTACTAATATATAGTTAATTATGATAATTGAATGATAATTAATATCAATATTTATAATACTATTAATTAAGAATTAAATTATATGTGCACCATCAAAATTTAGGAGTTCTACGAGACATTACCAAAATTTTAAAAAATTTTATATGCCCACAGGATCCAATATAAATATATATATTATATATATATATATTATTATATATATATATATATATATTGAATATATTGATGTGTGGGCACCATGGGGAAAAGAAAATGAATGCAATTATTTAGAATAAAATTTCATTTTTGAAGGACTTTTCTAGATCTAGTAAGCTTATATATCATTTATGTCATGTGACTATAAATTGATTTTTTTTTTTAAAGAAAAAAACAATTTCAATCTATTAAATGTAGTTTCCTTGCATAAATACTTTGGAACTTTCTTTTAACCTCTTTAATCATAAGCAACTCTCATCTTCCAATTCAACTAAATATGAGACTTAACTAACAAAAAGAAAGCTTGTTTAGAATTAAAATACAACTCCAAACCTTTAATCTAGATAATAATTATCTAATTATAATAACCTTTGAAAGAGGGAAAAAGAAAAATCCTTTGAATCTCCCAATTCTATATCCCCTTCTAATAATGCAGCTCCAACATATAAAGGATCCAACCACTGGGAGAGTACCCAAGTCGGACGCAATTAAAGCCCAGTGGACTTTCGGATACCAATGGTTATATATATATATATGTAAAAGAAAGATATAAAGAACCGAAAAATTATTTTTTTTTGAGATGTAAATAAAATGAAATTGGATCTGCCCAAGTAGGTCAATCCCCAACCTAAGAAACTCTTCTATACAAATGATGTATAGCTGTTTCTTTTAGGAATGTCAACAAAAAAACTTTGCACTTTAGCTATGAAACAAAGAAGCCTATAGCAATATTATTTAGGTCCCAGGAGGGGAGGGCACAGTAATTATTATATCACGAAAACCTACTAAGTGCTAGTGTAGTACTCTTTAATGTAATGTAGAATCTTAAAATAACTTTTGCATTAGATTAGACTGGTCTAATGTGTTAGTTCAATCTTCAAAAAGGAGATTAGGAACATTTTTTTAATATAAAAATATAAATTTTATGTGAAAATTAATGAGTTGATGTTTGAAGTAGAGATGTATATATAGCTCATATAGAAGCTAGTATCTAGTGTTATCTAAAAGATTTTCTGATAAGAAATCCAAAAGCAAAGACAGATTTTCCTTTGGAGATTTTAGTTGGTCACTTGGTTTCTTCTCACCCACCAATAAGCATCAAAATGAGACAAGATCATGTCTCCCTTTTTGGATTTTGGCTTGTGATATATGGGACCAAGTCCAACCCTTCTTCTGTAATACTTTCCAAGGGACTATAATGTACCTTTGTCTCTATATACTCTCTGGGTAACAATCATGGTTTCATCATTTTCTGAACTTGCACTGAATATCTTGAGAGAGAAAGAGAAAGTTCTACCAATCACTCAAAATCATCATTTTAGGAGAGAGAAAGAGAAAGTTCTACCAATCACTCAAAATCATCATTTTAGTCCAAGACATTTCTGAGACCAATAATGGAGATTACCTTTAAGCAAATGACATAGACTAGACTGCATACTGTAATAGTCACAACATGATTATATATTCTTTCCTTTTTACACTTACTGAGAAAGAAAGAAGAAAAATCTAACGAGTGAACCGATTAGTTTCGACTCAGTAATTGTTAGATTGTAAGTTCCAATCCGGTAAGTGTCTAATAACCAAAACAACAACAACAATAGCTAACAAGTGAAAATACGTACCCCTTTATTTTTTTCAGACACTTAATCACAAACTATATCTAGTTTAATGCTAAAATTAACAAAATTCCTTACTATAAATCAAGACAACCCTACTAATTAAACTCAAAACCCTAATAAAAAAAGAAGATCGTACATTAATCAATATCAGCAGCCATATGCAAAAGCTAATGACATTAGAGTTGATAATTAATTAGAGAGAACCCTACACACACACACATTATATATATATATATATATATTATCACTACCGCAAAAGTGTATATATATATATTATTTATATATATAAATATATATAATATATATAAAAAGCTAAGATATCTATATATATATATATATATATTATACTATATATATTATAATATTATATTAGTTCATTGATTACTTGGAATGGAAACGTGAAGTCTCAGTCTGTGATTGGGTTCCAACTCCCACAATCTCTCTGAAAAGGCAAGCTTGGTAGCTCGGTTTGTAGCATGTTTGAGAGCAGCGCCGGCGCACCTGCGATTGATTCAAAAGAATTGTGAAGAATGTTTGGTGTTGATGACTAGTGTAATAAGGTGGTTGTGTTGTTGCTGCTGCTTGTTTTGCTGGCGTTGTGGTGTAATGCAAGCTTGCTGATAATTACTAGTCGATGAAAGATCATCAACCGGATTCGAAGAAGCAGCGAAAAAGGTTTTGTGTTGCTTGGATAGTAAAAGCAAGCTGTCTGGAATTGATCAGAAATTATTTCTTCTTCTTCTTCCATTGTTAGCTGGTTAATCCAAGTGAAGTACAATTGCAGGACACGTATATGTTGGATTATATGCATTATTATTGTCTTAGACCAATACTAAAGTAGTAGTTACATCTGAACTACTACTTCCATCTGTTTCACCCCCCCCCCCCCCCCCCCCTCTCATTTTCTCCATTTTCTATTGCTGCGATTGAAATCTTTCTATAGAAAATTTGATGCTGTTTTTATCAGACTGAGTTCCTCTAGACGATGAAAGCTCTCGATGGGAGTGCGCGAGGGAGAGATGGGTGATCTTCTACTCCCTGCTCTCTTGTAAACGCCGACAAAGCGAAAATTTCAAGCTAGAAAGAAGCAAGAATTAAAACAATATTAACTATAGGTCATGTAGTATAAGGTTGCAGTAATGGCTATTGAGGAGCATTCAATACATATTAAAGAGAGGAGAGAGAGAGATGGAGAGAGAGAGGAGAGGCTACTTCGAGTCGGATTGAGAATTCAAAGTTGAAGCTTTGATCGGCTGCCTATAAATTTTCTTGGAAGAAAATAGTAATAAATTGTAAAAATAACAACAATATTGGAAAAACTCTCTAAACTCTCCAACTTTATCTTTTTGAAACTTGGTTACTTACATTATAATATTCAGATTGTGCACCTGCAACAATGTGACCAAGTAATAAACTTTTTGGCAATTCAGGACCTAATTATACAAACATCTAACAACTACGGGTTAGTGAAAAAGAGGGAAAAAATTTGAGTCAAGAACCCATATTTTTATGATATAGCGTCCAAGGTGCAGGAAGATTATAGAAATTTGAAAGAAGAAACAAGAAACACCCGTTAATAGAGAAAGTTCAGTTTCATTTTCATTAGCTGCAATAGCTACTAACATTTTTTACCTTTTGATATCGTTCAGTTTCGTGCTGGGGCAAGCAATTCATTCATGATCCAGCTCGTTCGAATTCCTTTAGGAGCTTTACCAGAGTAAGAAACTAGGGTTTTTCTTTAACCCAATTGACCTCGCGTTCTCCGTTACGGATCATCCGGTCAGCCTGTTGCCTTTCCAGTACCGGAAAGTAGTTTCACCCTATTAGGCCGCGTCCCCGTTTCGATATTTTCTGTCTCTTGGCACGATAGAAGAACCATTCTTTCTCTCCAATTGCTGCCAGAGCTTATGATAAAAGTTACCAGAATAATCAATGAATTAAAAACTTTCAAAATCATATTTTGTTGAGAAAGAAACAAGAATTGTACATAACAAAGAGCAAGGAAATAGTAATAATACCGAGTAAGTACCACAATCCTATCCATGTGAATACAAGAACCAAAACCGAATTGAACGAATCGAAATGAAACATGTGTATTTGTCAGTATTTGTTTCAGAAACCAACATTTTGCTATATGTTGTTACTAAAGAATAACAAAAAATAGTACATATTAATAAAGGATGAGTTAATTAGAATAAAGAAATTCAATTTACATGAAAAAAATGATCGAACCAAGTGGAAAAAGGATGGAAAGAATATTTCAATAGGTTCTTGAGAAAGAACACGAAATTAGTACGTAACAAAAAAAAACAGAAAGATGATTAGTATACGAGTTAATAATAAACCAAAACCTACAATTCCTATATGGGCATATATATATTAGCATATACACAAGGAAAAAAAGAGTAGAAGAAGAAGACAAAGGGAAAATGAAAAAGTAGTCGGAAAGAAACAAAAAAGGGTGACCTAAAAAGAAAGGGGAATATTATATATTTAAAACAGAAAAAAAAGGGATTTATAATATACCAGGAAGTTCCCAAGGGTCATAGCGATAAAGATCCAAGAAAAGTAATGAGTTCCAACGTGAAACGTTTGCCCTCAACCTTACGGCGAAGGTAGAACTCTACGAGTTCTTCTTCAGTAGGGTGGAAAGCGAAAAACCAGGCATAACCATGTCATGTTCATGGTCATTCATCTTTAGTGGTTGTGGCAACAGCGTGGCGGCGGTGTGTTGGTTGGAATTGCTATTGTTAGTGGTTGTCATGCTCATGTTGCTGCAATGCCATAAACTAATGAAAGCGGAAATTCATTAAACTCCATTTTGGGGTCTGGGCTTCCTCTTATTAGTTGGGGAGGACTTTGGGACACAAAGTGTACGAATTGAGAAGTGGTGTCAAGTGGTTACCCAGGATAAGACATGTCTTAAATAAATATTAAACTATATACTCAAATATTATTATTGATATATAATTTTCTTTTTCTTGGAATAAAAAGAGAGTTAATGGAAAGATCTACACAGGCCTTCAGGCCCTACAAGTAAAGGGTATTCCTATAAGGTGTTTAAGGAGGAAATGACATCTCAAGAAGGAGGACAGATGGCTACAGCACTATGCGGTGTTTTTTTTTTGGATCTTTCTTTTACCTTTCAAAATTTTTGTTTCTCTTTCTTTTCTTTTTTTCATTTATTCAAACCTTCAATTTTCTTTTAAACAAAATAGAAGCTTCATTTATTCAACCTTCAATTCTATTTTCTTTTAACAAATAGAAGTTCATTTAAATTATACCGATATAAGTTACGATCAACGAAAATAAACTGTATTTTCTAGATCAACTTTATTTATAGATCAGAAATTTAAAAACCTAAAATCGTTATTATTGCAAGGAGCGAATATCATCCCGACCCAAATTTATACATGTTTTATGACTTTATTTTAGGCATTTAAATTTTGATCTCAACATCTCAACTTTTGATTTCAATGTGTGTGCTTTAATTATATAATTTAGGAATTGATAATTTTATTTATGTAATTCATTCATAGATTTTTTTGTTGGCAAATAAATATTTTAATTATATTAATATGACTGAGGAAAAATTTAAAATAACTGAGATCTAAACTCGAGGCAATTTTCCCCTCACACATTCAAAACTAATTCAATCATATTAAATTAAAAAAACCTAATCGAATACATCATTAATTAAATCATTTATGGATTACTTCACCTAATTAACACTTCTAACTTGATTATAATCATATGAAAAATTCCATCCAAACAATATTTATTACCAAGATTTCTCACATACGAAAAATTCCTTCTTTGCTGCACTCATGCGAATATTTTAAGAGAAAGAAGTTTCTTCGCAAATCTACTTTTCACTTTTCATAAAAAATAATTGCGATTTTTGATAAGTTTTTGGTGATCATTTGTTTTGTGGTTTTAGTTTTGCAGTAGGTTTTTACTTCTTATTGCCAAATTAGGTCTTTTGGGTGTACAAAGAAAAGTCTGATGGCTTGGGTGTAGCTCCCCAAGGATGTGAATTTTTTCCTGCTTGCAATTTTATCTTTTCTTAATAATATATATATTTAATTTTGCTAATAAAAAAAAAATTTCTCACATATAAGACATGCAAAGATCTTGATTTTGTTGACTTTCAGTGCATGTATGTATCTAAAACGTGTCCAAAACACAGAGAGGTAAATTAATTATTAGGTACAAAACACAAAGACCTTGTATTAGGTACAAAACACAAAGACCTTGCATTTTTTTTCCCCGTCAAAGGTTGGGAAAAATTACTGAGGCATAGTACTATTGATCAGCATATTAGGGTTTTGTGGGGGACTAAATTTAATTAGGAGTTGAAATAATTAATAGAGAGCGAATTTAGTTTTTTTTATTAATATACTATCAATATTAAGTTATTGATAGTATATCAATAGATTGTGTAAAATTTTTGTAAACATTTCATTCAATTTCTTTATTCTATACATAGTCTGTATAAGTAGTACATCTGAATTTAATATTTAAGTTTTAAAATTGGGATTATGTATCACCCTAGGCGAACATCGGCTAAGCACAAAGTGTAAGTGAAGTACATAAAATTGGGTCAAAACCTTCTTAATAACCTAGAAGATTTCTTACTAGTCTAAAGCTTGCCCATTCTTATGTACTTCATTTACACCTTGTACTTAGCCGATGTGAAATGAAGTCTAACAATAGAATAGAAATATACAAATTCAACTTTGTACTTTTATGAGCAAATTTGTGGCATTTTAAACTTTATAAAAGTTTCACTTTTATGGAATTTTTGTTAATATCGTACATTTGTATTAAAACTAATAATTTTTAATTATGACACCCAATTCTTAATTCAATGTACGGTTTAAGTACACTTAAAAAAATTATTTTCACGTTTTCAAACTATCCAATAGGCATTCAATTGTATCTAATTTTATTAAATTGGAGTATTCAATAGAATATTGTAAACTGAAGTGTTTAATAGTTGTAATTCTAATAAGTTGAAATATTAATTAAGTTACATAACCGTGAATTGGGATTAAGATATGTAATTTAAGGTTAAGAGCAATAGAGTATTAATGGTTTTAAAAGAAACTAATCTTTATGCCAAAAAAAAGCGATATTAAGAAGCAAAATGTTAGTGATATAAAAACATTTTTTTTTTTTTGTAATTTTTTTTTTCTCCCTCACACCCATAAACTTAAAAATTTAATGTTGATAATATGCTAAAAAAAATATAATCTCTTCAAAATAATAGGAAACTGTGGTAAACAATTGTAAAAATTTTCATGTCATTGGCCAAACGAGAAATTAATAATAAATTTATGGTAATGAATTTAGAGTTTCCCATTCAAAATTTCTGTCATTCAAACACAGCATAAGATTTTTTTTTTTTTAATTCTTCAATATATAGAGATGTTTTATATTTTCCTAAATTTCAGTACTATAAAATAGATACTTAATTATTAAATTTAACCAGTCAAATGACATAATTATGACTTTTATACCACCAAATTAAGTTATTTTAATGAAAGAAAAGACAAGAAATTTTATCTTTAAAAAAAAAAAAAAGAGTGTGAAGAAAATAAAAGAGTGAAGAAATGAATATAGAAATATAACTGGTAGGGAGGTGGAGGTGTGGGGCTAGAGGGGGAGCAAAATGCATATAGGTGGGGGATGGGAAAATATTGAGTCGTATTGTGGGTTATGACGAGTCAAGCCTTCAAGTGAAACCCGTGACCATTCCTGTTTATGACAATAACTTGCTTTCCTCTCTCTTTGTTTTTATTGTTTCTTCACATTTTTTTATTAATTTCTTTCATTTTTTATTTTTTGTTCTTCATCATTTAAACCCTTTTGCATTTACAGTAGTTAAAACTAGATACTATGTTCTTTGAATTAGGGTTTAAAAATATTTAATTTATCCATTAATCAACATTACAAAATGATTATCGTTTCACTAACAGTGTAACAGTTGCTCGCATAGCAGTAAAATTCCGAATATCATTGAATAGAAGCACATAAACAGTCTCTCTGTCAAAAAAAAAAAAAAAAAAAAAAAAAAAAAAAAAAAAAAAAATAGAGAGATTGCTGCATACAACAATTTTCTCAGAGTTCACACTATGTAGCATGTTTCGTGCACCGGATTTTCTTTTAAGGGAAAATAATTATTTCGTCTTGAAGTTTGCTATAATTATTTAAGTAGTCTCCGACATGTATACAAATACTTATAACATCTTTGAGATTTACTTTCGTCTTATTAATTAGTTCTTCCGTCCAAAAAACACATTTTTTCCGTTAATTTTGAGAGGGAAATACGAAATTATCCTTTATAAGTTTTCATTATTTCGTCCTTGAGGTTTGCCAAAATTATTTAAGTAGTCTTTGACATTTATATAAATATTTATAACATGGGCATTTGTTATTAGTGGTGTCGCATTTCAAGTGAACAAGAGTAAGCTAAATGTGTTGTGTAAATTTTTGCTTTGCTATATTGGTATTCTTTTTGGCAGATTTTGCATATGGTTGCTGTTTCTGGGATTAATTGCTGAGGTTATTGAGCAAAGTAATGCATTGGATGCAATCTGGGATTAATTGCTGAGGTTATTGAGCAAAGTAATGCATTGGATGCAAATACAAAGATTAAGTACATAAACATGCATGAATATTAAGGATCAAATAATATGACGGAAGTGAACATCAGAGATGTTATAAATATTTATATAAATGTCAAGAAATACTTAAATAATTATAGCAAACCTCATAGACGAAATAATTATTTTCCCTTCTTTTAATGGTGTAACTACGAATATAGGAGTTAGAACTTCATAATTAAGTTTTCAGATATTTGGTATATCCATAAATCAATATTACATATGATTATCATTCAATTAAAGTGTAACAGTTGTAGGTGTGACTTCTGTGGAGATCATAGATTTGAGTCACATAAACAATCTCTCCACAAAAAAGTAAGAAGAAGACTTCATTTATAAGATCTTCACAGTGTTCATATATATAGAATGTTTCATGCATTACATCGCCTTTTGACCGTTAAACTATAGAAATATTATGAAAGGATGCATTTGACATGTAATATATATATATTGGGTTTTAATCTATAGGTTTTTGTAAGTCTAATATTAATTATTTAGTTCACTTATATATTTTATGATTTATTATTTTTTGATTTTTATAGATATTTTATATTAATATCAACCAATCACTACTTAGTACTGTTGGTTTATCCAAATAACTTTTTTATTTTAACTTTTTTTATTTTCCTTTTTTTTTTTTTTTTTTTGGTTTATGTTAAAAAGCCTTTTTTTTTTTTTTTTTTGGTTATGTAAAAGCCAAACCGTGTCTTATTATAGAACTGAAAACATCATATATGGGTCCTCAGGAATCCAAGAAAAAAGAAATTCTTCTCACTTATTTTCTCTCTCAAATATTGTTATATAATTGTAGATTAAGATATATAATTAGCTAATTAATTAGCCAGTGAGATATTTGCAGGAGAGGTTATATGTCTGCATGTGGGAAGTGACACTTTCTTTGTTTTGTCATTTTCTTTTGAGTCTTAAATGGGTCTTTTTTTTTTTTTTTTTTGGTTATGTAAAAGCCAAACCGTGTCTTATTATAGAACTGAAAACATCATATATGGGTCCTCAGGAATCCAAGAAAAAAGAAATTCTTCACTCACTTATTTTCTCTCTCAAATATTGTTATATAATTGTAGATTAAGA